TTCGGGTGAATTTTTAATCATCAGTGACACAATCAAGTTCATTGGAAGAAATCCCCAACAGAGAGGAAGTGGGAATAATTTGCCTGATCTTTCTGGTCTTCCCATTTTTTCCAAATGCAAAACTGTTCACAAGTTTTACAGTCTGCTACAGAATGCATATTATATCATTTGAGAGAATGCAGTTCGTCAAGGCAGGCCTCGTTCCCTTGTCTTGATTCTAGGATTGACTCAAAATAACAGAATAGCCAAGTTGGAAGGAACCCTGGAGATCTTCTAGTCCAACCCCATGCTCAAGCAGGAGACCCTATATTATTCCAGACAAGTAGCTGTCCAGTCTCTTCTTAAAAGCCTCCAGTGATGAAGCACCCATAACTTCTGAAGGCAAGCTCTTTCACTGGTTAATTGTTCAGTTAGGAAATTTCTCCTTACTTCTAATTTGCCTCTCTAGTTTCCATCCATTATTTCTTCTCTTTCTTTCTGGTGCTATGGAAAAAGGTTGTCCGCCTCTTCATTGTGGCAGCCCCTCAAATATTGGAACACTGCTATCATGTCACTCTGAGTCCTCCTTTTCACTACACTAGACATACCCAATTCCTGCAACCATTCTTCGTATGTTAAAGCTTTCAGCCACCTAATCATATTTGGGTGGACTACTCATTTTATATCTGCCATCTGCTTTTAGCAGTTTCCTTGGCCACCCTACACAGTGAAGCAGTTGCAGTGAAGATTTAATCTGTTGTTGTGTTTGACAGCAGCTTTCTGTTGCTTCCTAACTGATGTGTGTTATAGATTGAATATGTGTCGACCTGTTTAAGCAAGGCAGAATGAGGGGGGTGGGGGAGAAAGAAGGGGGTTGTGCCCTTATATAATGGACTTAATGAAGCTTAGGTATTAGCAAACTAGAGCTCCACACATACAGGCAGCACTAAACTGGATTAAAACCAGCTGTTTTGCTAAAAATGGTTAAAGACAGTAATCAGGACAAATGGGATTTTTCTCTTGCCAGTTGGCTACAATGAAAAAAATGTGGTGTAGGAAGAACTGGGTGTCACAGCAGTACTGTATTAACATTATGTTGACCAAGTTCCTTTTCTGAAAACCTGTAACTTTGTTTTTAAAGCTAAGGGGAGATAAATAGAAGAATTGAATGTGGGCTTTGAGGATGTCAATGAAAAAATCCTTCCTTTATTGGGCCTCCCTCATTATCTGGGAATGAGGTGATGGCTAAGTTTAAAAGCAAGAATTTAGGAGCATTCCTGTTCTAAGGACAGGAATTACCTTATTTATATATTTATTTATAAATAAATATATAAATTTATATATTTATAACAGAGATAACAGGTATAAGTATGAACATGGATGTGAACACAGGAAATGAGTACAAATAAGTGGGGACAGTAGGACAGGGATGGTAGCACGCTGGTGCGCTTATGCATGACCCCATAGGGACCTCTTAGGACCTCTACCGTGAGGTCCACAGTAGAGAGTTTAAAGTTGAAGTTATGGAGGTTTGAGGATGTAACAAAGGAGTCAGGTGGAGCATTCCAGGGATTGACCACTCTGTTGCTGAAGTCATATTTTCTGCAATCGAGTTTGGAGCTGTTTACCTTGAGTTTGTATTTATTGTTTGCCTGAGTATTATTGAAGTTGAAGCTGAAGTAGTCGTTGACAGGTAGGACATTGTAGCAGACAATTTTGTGTACTAAGCTTAGGTCAGACTGTAGGCAGCATAGTTCCAGGTTGTCCAGGTCCAAAATTTCAAGCCTGATGGCATAAGGGATTCTATTGTGAGCAGAGGAGTGGAGTATTCTCCTCATGAAATACCTCTGGACCCGCTCAATTGTATTAATGTCTGATATACAGTGTGGATTCCAGGCAGATGAGCTGTATTCAAGGACTGGTTTGGCAAAGGTTTTGTATGCCCTAGTTTACAGTACAGTGTTACCGGAGAAGAAGCTTCGCAAAATTAGGTTAACAACTTAATGCCTTCTTGGCAATGCTGTTACAATGAGCTCTGTGGCTTAGATTGTTTGAGATGAGTACTCCTAGGTCCTTGACAGAGTGAGAGTCGTCTACGAGGTCGTACACCCAGGTTGTGTTTGGTATTCTGATTTTTGTTGCCAATGTGTAAGATAGAGCATTTGTTAGTTGAGATTTGGAGTTGCCAATTGTTTGACCATTCTGACACATAGTCAAGGTCACTTTGTAGGGCAGTAGTATTGTCGGTGGTGTTAGTTTTACGTCATCAGCAAAAAGGACGCAGTTGCTTATAATATGATCACAAAGATCTTTTATGTAAAGCAGGAAGAGTGTGCTTACCTTGGCTTACCCTTGATATCATCAGCTTTTCTTCTGGACCTCCCTCATAATTTGATGGGATGGAAAGGAGGGCTGGCAGCAGCTGTTTTGGTTCCCACCGCTCTTAATCTCAAAAAGGTGATTGATGGAAGGCAGCCAGCCTGGAGCTGTAATCCTTGGAACAGGCCGGGTTAGACAAGGTCCTGGGAACCTCAGCAGGCCCACATGCTTTTTCTGGACAATGACACTCAAATACAGATGCTTAGGTTCTCAGCAGAGTTTTTCAAAAGTTTCCATATTTTTCAAGTTACAAGAACTGCCTGTTCTCCATTTAATTTCTTTATTCCTATTATATTTTCCTTCAGGGCAATGATCAAAAGCAAAATCATTTTGGTCAGGGTCACGTTTGAATTGTTGGACAATGTTTCCAACCTCTGCAAATGTTAACTGATAATCGCAGTTGTTAGGTTGTTAGAAATTTATCACTTACAGCCTGAGAGAATTCTGAATAAGGAAGATTTTATTGTACATCAATTGGGAGGGTAGAAGACAGGTCTGATGAAAGATAATGAGAAAAGGAAACCCTGAGTTCTGCCAGGTTTTGCAAAGCAGGGATTGAAGATAAATCTTTTTTTCTGAGGGAGTTGCACATTTTTTAAAAAAATAGAGATAGGTACATGGCAGTGATGTTGATTTTTTAATAGGGATCAGGAGAGGTACTAATAGAAAATGGCTGTATGGCATTTAATGAAGGCTTAAAACCACCATTTTAGGATGCACTTCTGAAAATTGGTATTTTGTTTGAACTTAAGCAATGTAATTTTAAGTCACAAAAAAAGGGTTGGGGGTTATATATGGATTTCAAGTTGTTTATCCATGATTAGGGAAGAACTTAAGAAATCTATCTGTTCCCTCCCCCAATCTCCTGTATAAACTGAGTTATTTAACCTCACTTCCCAGTTTAGACAAGATCTTTTGTTCATATTATACAGCTCAAGACAGATTAGGTTGGGCTGAGAGAGAGTGACAGCCAGAATAACCTGTTAACTTCCCATGGCCAAGAGTAGATGACTCTGGGTCCCTCCAGTCCTTGGGCCCATCCATACTTACAATTAACTGAAGATATTCTGCTGATCATTTTTAGAGAACGTGTTTTCACAATGGTGCCTTTATCTTATCCCCAGCTTCCTGGAAAGGCATTTGTCTTTAACAATTCCAGTTTATCAGTAGTGTTTTGCTTCTTCTGAACCAAGTCATCTTGTAAGAACATCCTATGATGACTCCTTAATGATGTGCCACGGGTTGGTTCTACCTAGTTCCTATCAGTCCCTCTCAGATTCTGCAAACACAACTTTGGGCTCCTTTCCTCTGGTTGCCTCTTTCCACTACATACATTCCTTGAACAGTTTGACTGGGGCTGAAGGAGAGATCAGAGACATGGCTCCCACAGAAGCATCTGCCTATTGATACCTGACCAGTGTTTCGCAAAGCACTAGCCAGGTATTACATAGGCTTCTTATATAAACAGATTTAGCATTCTTCTGCAATACAATAGTTTCTATTTTTAATATGCATTTTGCAATCCCGAAGAAAAGTTATAAATCTTTAATTTAAAAATAAACAAGACTATCACTGTCTATAATTAAGCTAGAAATGAGAGCTTGGTTTTTCTAGCTGAGGGTTGTCGGTTCTGTTCCAAATAAGTGCCTTACAAGTTTTCCACAGCTCCTGCCAACAACGGTTCTTATATCGCCATGGCTTCTACTATCCTCATTTCTTTGAGGAATGAAGACCTTTTGCATCTCCAAAGTCACGAGAGAATGGGATGCTTGTAGGGGCTGTTAGCAGTTGCCAAATGCTGCCGGCGCTGCCATTTTGAGATAATTGGCAGCTGAAATGAAATGGAGAAGACTTCTGCAAGTTTACCCTTTCCTGAGCAACAGGATGATAGACTGGTGAAATGGACAATGGTTGAACTAGGAAGAATCTCCTTTGATGTGCCCTGCAAGGTTCCCTCCTCTTAAACTCACATGCTTCTTCTATCCCACTGACCTGTCTGCTGAGATATTTTTGGACACCAGTTTACAGGTCTTCTGGAATATTAGTAAAGCTATGTCAAAAAATAACTTGGTTGACAGGTTGGTGAGATGAACAGGCCCAGAATAAAGCAGGAGGAAGCTCTCTCTCTACTTCATCCTATACTTCTACTACATCCCATTAACCTTTCAGGTGGCCATTTTTAACACAGTTCTCCTGGTCTTCTGAAAGTTGGGTAGTTCAAAAATAGCCTGAATGCCAGGTTACCCAGAGGGAACATCTCTATTTGAGTAACCTGTCACTTGCACAATTCAAAAGGTAGCTACTCTGTCAGGCACCTGCCCACTTTCTTAAACTTTGGTTAAGAATCTTTGGTTCCCTCCCCCCTCCCAGCCCCCTCTGGTTTGTGACATTGAGTGGAAAATAAAGGTAGGATTTTCACAAGCCTTCTCATTGAAGCAGATTAAAATTTGACTATAGGATACAACAAATTGTGCCAGCATACTTTTTTTTTGAAACTCAAGAACTAAAAGAATGCACATTTATTTATTTATTTTTAAAGTACAGTGTGTATTTTCACTCCTTGGAAGTAGAGGAAAGCTGATGATTGCATCAGCGTGACATCATCCAGACAAATTCTGTAAGGGAAATACCATGAGATAATATTAGTAGACTTACACTAGCCCTGATTGTTTTAATGTCAAATCCTTACACCATCCATGAAGTTTGCTTAATGACCTCAACTGGTTTCTGCCTAACTGTCAGAAATGTGGCAATAGGGGAATTAAAGCAACTAAGGTCCCTTTTTGCAGTTGTTAAGGACTAGAAAGCTGATCTAAATTTATTCTGTTGCCTGATTAGGTACAGATCAAGTTTCCTTTGATCATATCATACAACTATGGAAATGGCACACCCTTCATCTTAAGGTCTTAAGATGTGATCTTCTGATTTTCTATTAGAAGAGGCTAATCTTTCCAAACTGGTGACCTCAACTCTTATCACCCCTCATTCAGCAGTTAGTTCAAAAGTTTCTCTCTCTCTCTCTTCCTCTCTAGTTCAGATCTCTGGCAATAAATATCTTCTTGGTATAAATCAGTACAATTATAATGCAAAGGAGTTGAGGAAAATAATGGATTGGGGTGCCACTAAAATGTTCCTGTTTTTTACATTTTAAAGATGGAACACACTAAACTCTTAGATAAGAGAAATATATAGCTTAATAGGAAATATTACTATAATATTTACCTTAGTCCTTCAAACTTCAAAAATCTGCTCCGGATGGGAGAAAATTGCAGCCGAGCTCCAATCTCCATGAAATTGGAACTACGTAATAAATAAATTTCTAAATCTATTATCCAAACCCATTTAAGCCTGTATCTTGTCACTCTGTGCTTCTAAATCCGATCTCTCTAGAGCTTTAATACTTTAATCTCTCACCCTGATTTCCCTAATCCTGTAATCTCTTTCCATCAATTTTATATTGCCAGATATCACCTTCAAAATCCACAGTCCCGTCTCCATTAACGTCAGCATCCTTCACCATATCATTAATCTCTTGAGAGGTCATCGTCTCACTCATCAACCGTTGCATGGTCTGACGCAGCTCAGTCAAGGTGATCTTGCCATCCCCATTTGTGTCAAACTGGGAAGAAGACCCAGAATTATTCAGACTATGATGCACATTTTCTATACTAGAACCAAAGGGAGGATTAGCTGTGGACCAATGTAGTAATGGCATTTGAGAGAGCAATGATCATAGCTGTGGTCCAATATCTAAGGGGCTGCCACAAAGAACAGGGAGTCAACCTATACTACAAAGCACCTGAAAGCAGGACGAGAAGCAATGGATGGAAACTAATCAAGGAAAGAAGCAATCTAGGACTAAGGATAAATTTCCTGGCAGTTAGAACAATTAAACAATGGAACAACTTGCCTCTAGAAGTTATGAGTGCTCCAACACTGGAATTTTGTAAGAGATAGGACAACCATTTGTCTGAAATGGTGTAGGGTTTCCTGCCTGAGCAGAGGGTTGGACTAGAAGACCTCCAAGGTCCCTTCCAACTCTGTTATTCTATTCTATTTCTCAGGTTTCTGGAACATATTAAACATTACTGTCTGGCGCAGGAATTGCTCCCTGCCAGACATCATAAACTGGCTATGATCACTTATCACCTTATATTAACAGTAGGATTGTTTGATGCAATTTAGAAAGAACACAGCTTTCTTAAATATGTGACAAGACAGATGCTAATTGGAAATAGATGCCTTGGTCTTAGCTGGAAGAGTATTAATTTCTAAGCCTCCACTTTCCATAAGTGACATTACAGATTTAATTATCAAGATTCTGGTAGGCCATAGAGTGTTTTTTTCTTCTTAGATCATTTGCATTCTCCAAGCGTGGGCTACAAATATCACCACCTAGCTAGCGTGATTATTTTCTGTGCTGAATAGGTCATTTTTAAATTTTGCAAATTTAATTTCAACAGCACAAGATTAGAGCCTCCAAGATGGCTTTCCATGGCCGGCTGGGGAATTCTGGGAGTTGAAGTCTGTACACCTTCATATAATTACGGATGAGAAACATTGCTCCAGTTGGTTTCTTCCAGATGTGCTGGAAGTGAATTTCCAGAATTCTGTTTCAGACTTTTGAAGGGAAATGTGGGGATGAGCAATTTTACTGAGGAAGGGAGGAGGAAGTTAGGCCTCTCTGTATCCATGGACACTATGGGTATCACATCTATCCAGATAGCCAATGGAATGTGCTATTGTCCAGTCTAAGAGGCAGCAGAAAATATAGCAGAACTAATTTGCTTGGTACACATAGCCAATTGCTATTTGTCCTTGTTAACAAGGCAGCTTGTTAACAGGGCAATTAATATACAGAGATTAAAAGATTCCGGTACTGATGGGACAAAAATGCCTAATAATCCCTTTTCAAATGTTGGTTAGGACTGGATAAGATGCTAAATTTATATAGCTAGCTAGAAGCTGCTGCAACAGACTTTCCTGCTTTAGACAGTGCCACCACAGCTGTCAACACATCCCTAGCTGAACTGGGGGGATGGGGAGGGAGAATGGCCCATTTCAGGCAGCACAGCCCCCACATGTAGTCACATAATTGCCTGTACCAAAGGCAGCTTCTATTACCCCATTCTGTGAATCAAATCCTGGGAGAAAAGTTTCAGGAAACCTCAGCTTTATATGGAAGCCATAATCCATACAACCTGCTGACAAGCTACATTGGTGGAAAGGGGGGCGGCGACAACTGCTAAAATTGTTGAAGAGACCCTTCCTACCTCGGTCAATGCTGCCACCCTTTGCAACTTACTACATCCCACCTACCAACACAGATTTCAGGGGATCTGAGAGGGGAAAGTAAATATGACACCAAGTTTGTTAGTCACTATCCACCACAAGAGATTGGATAGATAGGACAACACTCACATCAGTCAAAAAAACTAAATGAGCTGGGCATATCATATCTCTTCTATGTCATCATCTCCATCTCCCCTATGGGAGACATTAATTTCATATAGGATCAGAAATTAGCCTCAGCAATGGTCTGGAGAGATTACTCTTACCGTTCTTAAAACAGATGTTTTAGATATGCCCTGATCTTCAGTCTGATTCCTATGTTTATGTCTATAATGTTTATAAAAATAAACACATTAGGAGATGTTATCTCCACTACATATGCATCAGACCAAGAAAATAACTTGAAAGGGAGATTCAAAATATCGTATCTGCTATAGTAATGACAACTTGCAAGTCTGATTGTGCTTTATCCCACACACACACACACACTACACACACACACATCCAAATAGAGGGACATAAGAGCCTTGGTGGCGCAGCAGACTAAAGTGCTGTTAAATAGCACCAGCTGCCTGTAATTACTGCAAGTTCAAATCTCACCAGGCTCAAGGTTGACTCAGCCTTCCATCCTTTCGAGGTAGGTAAAATGAGGACCCAGATTGTGGGGGCAATAAGCTGACTTTGTATAGAAAGAACACCGCTTTGAGGGGGGGGAAAGCCCTACTAAGCAGGTATATACAAAAGTATGAAGGCTATTGCTTAACGCATTGTAAGCCACCCTGAGTCTCCGGAGAAGGGCGGCATATAAATCGAACCAATAAATAAATGAATAAATAAATAAATAAATAAATAAATAAATAAATAAATAAATAAACAAGGAACTAAGGAAAAGTCTGAGCCATTTCCTTTTTCCCCACAGGTTGAAATGGTTTCTCTCTGTCAAGGTCATTTTCTTTACTCTCTATAAGAAGCAGTCTCCTACAGAAAACCAGACATTGGGAGAAACTATGGCTCAGGGCAGATTGTCCTTACATTTTGTTTGTACAACCATAAGAAGATGCTGGTCTGGGTGAAGTTTTGCTCAGATCAAGAAATTAAATAAACTTAAGATAAAGAGAGCCCACCTAATCCACCTTTCCTTTCTGGATCTAGCTCCTGTGTCCTGCCATCTGTTTTTACCTCCTTGAAGACATCTCTCATCTCTTGAACACCAATCATGCCCGCTGTTTCTGCCAGCAGTTTTGGGGTCATCAACTCTACAAAGTCATCAAAAGCTACGTGTCCCCCAACTGCAATGAGAAAAGTGACATTTACTGCTTAAAGTGGATTTTAAAAAAAAACAACAACACCAAGAGCATCTAGATATCTTGCCTTCTCCTTTGGTTCCTTGATTAAAAGCTTTTTCAGAATATTGAGGAGAAAATAATAGGAAACAGATCAGTTCTGAACCCTCCCACTTCCTATGTGAGCCCCAAAGCATCATGTTCATAATTTAGTTTTGGATTTGGTAAACATCTGGATAAGAGACCATATGAGATCATTTCTATCAGAAAGAGGAATGGCATAATTGTAATAAATGCACTTTATTTTTGAAATAATGTGATCTATTAATCCAACTCTTGTTGAAAGAACACAGAAGAAATTTCCCATTATCGTTCCTTTAAAAATTGGAGAATGGGGTGCTAGGGCAAGAAAGAATTAATATAAGCCCTTTGACTTGCTATGGTCTTTATAAAAATTCTTTCCCTTAGCCATTATTATATTGTGGGAAGAAAACAAAGGGAAGTTTCTTCCCAATGCAAATAATTATTTCAGAAGAGAAGCCTTGTAGTATAGTAGTAAAAGGAATCTCTCCTTTCTGCTGCAATCATCCCTTTCAGCAGCTGATCTTTGCTTATTTAAAAAAAGGTCCAAATTAAACAGGATGTATAAACATCAGGTGCAATTTATCCCTGAAGGGCAATCACTGGCCAGGGTTGTCCAATAGATCTGAAACACACTCTTCAATCTTAGCCAATTTACACCATGGTTTCCAAAAGCCGATAGTAACTGCCCTTAATAAAAGATCCAGCCTTTTCCCCCAGAATTAGAGCTTTCCTTCAGAAACAACTGCGCACAAAGATAAGAGAGTGACTGGGAACTCATAGATCTCCAACAGTTGTTGAAGTATACATCCCATCACTCAGTATTGGCTACAATTGATACGAGTTGGAGTCGGGGTGAAATCCAGCAGGTTCTGACAGGTTCTGGAGAACCAGTAGCAGAAATTTTGAGTAATTCGGAGAACTGGCAAATACCACCACTGGCTGGCCCCAGACTGGGGTGGGAATGGAGATTTTGCAATATCCTTCTCCCAGGAGTGAGAATGGAATGGGGATTTTGCAATATCCTTCTCCTGGAGTGGGGATGGAATGGGGATTTTGCAATATCCTTCCCCTGGAGTGGGGTGGGAATGGAGATTTTGCAGTATCCTTCCCCTGCCATGCCCACCAAGCCACACCATGCCCACCAAGCCACGCCCACAGAACTGGTAGTAAAAAAATTTGGATTTTACTCCTGGCTACAATTGATATAAATTGGAGTCCAGAGACATCTGAAGAGTCTCGGACTTACATTTCCCGCACTCTTCCCAACAAGCACTTACGATTCATGTTGATCTGTTGAGACAGCTCTATGAGTTCCATCTCAGTTGGCATGTACCCCATTGTCCTCATGAGGTTACCCAGATCTTTGCAGCTGATATATCCATCTTTGTCCTTGTCAAACTCCTGAAAGGCTTCACAGAGTTCTGTTTTTGCATGATGAAGAAGATGATAAGAATGATAAAGAATAAAATAAAATCATGGCTGAGCTTTCGTAACATGCTTTGAGTAATTTAAGATTCAGAGTGTTACAGGAGCTAAGCCCTTAGCATGCTGTGAATACCAGATCACCACATAAACTATAATATGATTTGCATGCTTGGGCATATCATTTGTGTTTTGTTAACCCAGATTTAGTATTTAGCTTGGAGCCATTTTGGAGCAGAATGATACAGAAATGTCATTAATTGATTGTTAAAGAAGCAAGCATGTTTTAACAACCTAGCCCATGAATCTCATTGTTTTAAACACTGTTAATAATATACTTTTGCTTCATGCATTCTATGTCAATTTTCTATTTAGAGACCTCCCACTGAAGAAACATTACTGAGAAAATTAAACTAATTCTGACTTTATTTTTATAAGTTAGACTACAAATAGTAGGTCCAGAAAGGCACTTTCTTCACCATCGCTCTTCATGAATTCATTTCAGCACACAACTGATATTTGTCTTTTTTAACAGTCTCCAGGGGAATTCTGAGAGCACACTTTTCCAAGGAAGATTATCTGCTACTGATGTCTTTCCTAACCTTCCAAAGGACTTCAGCATATCTTGGAGCACTAGTTTAATACATTAGTCAGAATCATATATGTGTACAAACAGAAGTTTGCACTTACCTTCAATTTCATCTCCACTCAGTTCACGTTGCTGTAACAAAAAAATAGAGGGAACTGGAGAAATCAAGGACCTAGTCACCATAATTCTATACTTAACTCTCCACCCAACTGACCCCAACCATAAAAATTCAACTAGAGCATTTTATTGTCCTGGGCCAATAGAAAAAATTGCACTGGATGACAAGAAATCAGCAGTATTCCAAAATAGCAGGTTAAAAACTCAAATAACTATCAGGAGTTGGAAAAGCTAAAGCCATTGGGCTTTTCGATTCACTGGATCCTTTCTCAATGAGATCATAATCATAAAAGTTTATTTGTCAAGTATATATAAGATAACAGGTAAAAGTATAAACATAATTTGAATACATGAAAAGAGTAAATAAAAAGGAATATTAGGACAGGGATGGTAGGCACGCTGGTACACTTATGCATGCCCCTTACAGACCTCTTAGGAATGGGGTGAGGTCAACAGTAGACAGTTTAAGGTTAAAGTTTTGGGGGTATAAATAAATAAATGCAATGGAGAGCAAGTCTTATAGATAGATCTGGTACCTACTAGCTACTGATTGTGGATCAGGCTGAGAAAGACAACGGATGCTTTGATTAGTTAATAAAAGAAGAATATTGAGAAGACAGCCTAAACCAAGCTGCTTACAACAGAGGTCAAAAAGACTCAGCTTTTTTCTTGTAAACTTTGCCAGTGATCTATCGATCTATCTATCTATCTATCTATCTATCTATCTATCTATCTATCTATCTATCTATCTATCTCTCCCACCACCATTTCATACTTCTACTATCTTGTGCCTAGTCTGGACCCTTGATCCATTTCTATTGCATATCCTGAATTAAAAACGAAATACCTTCCTATGGCAGAGAGTGAAATCGGGGAATATTACAATCCTGCCCTGGACCACTTTTGATTAATTGCTCTTTCACTGAAAAAAAGACAGAAGTCCAGTCCGGTGCATTTCCCCTAACCTGTAGGGCTACCCCACCAATGCCCATGACCCAGTCCCTACTAGATGGCCCATACCCTCTGCTTGTCAGCAATGTTCTTGCGCAAGAAGATACAAGCGGGTCCCAGGCCGTTCTGCATGGTACAGAGAGATGTGGTTCCCAGTCCAGTCACCAAGTCCCCAGCCAGTCTGGCACCCAATGTTCAGCAGCGGAAAAATCAGCTCTTTGGAAGAGGCTGATTTATAGAGGGAGAAAGGGATCATCTCTCCTTCATTTCCGACCCCTCCTCCATCCAGGCCTTTTTTGTTCTTCTCCTGGCTGTGACATCTGTAAAATAAATCTCTCCTCCTTTGCCCAGATTAACATCGGCCACGTGGTGAAAATTGGCAGCCTGGACCCGCTTGGCTTCTCAGGAAGTATGGAAGAGACAGAAGCTTCCAGAACATTAGAATGGTGTAGAAAAGAATGGATAGTCGGTGTGTGCAGCAATTAAGCCATCAGGCTAAAAACTGGATGAGCGTGTGTTCGAGTCCTGGTTTAGGGAAAAATACAGCTGGGTAGGCCAGTCACTCTCTATCAGCCCTAAAAAGGAGGCAATGGCAAATCATTGCCAAGAAAACTGTGGGGACTAGTCCGGACAGTCATGAGGAATCAACAATGTCTTGAGAGCACACATCCCACCCAAATCCACGCACAAAACTCCACCACCACAGTATAAACTATTTTTAAAAGTTTAGGTGTAAAAATAAAGAAAACCTCCACACCCTCCAAATCTCAGAGGAAAACCCCACATAAATAGGTTTTGTCCACTTTATTGGCATAGTTTTAAGGGTATAATGGCAATCTTGCCCACTGTGGCCTTCAGCCCACCTGAAAGATATAAATACATGACCCTTAGTCATAAAAAGTCTGCCCACCATTGTATTAACATAAATATTGCTATAGCAGGCTGCACCTGAATTGGCTCTAATTTGTAGAATCATTTGAGCCTTGAGAGCTTCAGAGCAGTCATGACCTCAATCAACCCCTAAGTGTGCTTCTTCAAATTGAAGAAAAGATGGTGGCATCTCTAAGGTTTCCTGCCTGAGCAGGGGGTTGAACTAGAAGGCCTCCAAGTTCCCTTCCAACTCTTATTATTCTGTTAAATTATCAAGCTATCTCAAGGGAGATGAGTGCAGTCTCTGATACTCACCACCTTGCTCAGCACATACACGCACGCACGCACGCACCAGACACACATATGTAGGATAAGACAAAGGAGAGTAGCTGTGGGTCCAGCTACTGAGCCTCTTTTCCTTGTGAGTCTTCATTCTCCCTTTACAGTTGTCATAGTAACCAGGTAGATTCTTCCTTCTCCTTCATTGGTTGCTAGGAGCTGGAATAGAACCAAAGAGAGAGGAAGAGAGAGAAAGGCTAGTGCAGGGATGAGGGGGCAGAAGGCTTTGAGGCAGTTGGGAGTGTGGGACATGGGGATGATGGGATGGGAAGAACTTTGCATAGCTGGCAAGTGGTTGAGTTGGAATTAAAGACATGGATGGGGGAAAGGGCTCTTGGATCAATCACCTGGGAGGTCAGGGAATGAAAAGAACCATGGTAGCCATTTGGTGCCACATTATATATTCCCCACCTAACTCGGTATTTTATCCTAAATGTAGCGGCACTGCATGTTCTCAGGGGAGATCTGTGGTTTGAAAGGCGACTCAGAGGGCTCCAGCATGCAACATGCTTGCTCCAAGACTGAACTGTTCAATCTCCCCCAGAATGTTGGGAATCCATTGAGAAAATAGGAATGTAAAAACCCAGCAAAATGTCTAACTTCCCTCTTGTCCTTCTCCTTGAAGACCTGCACCCCCCCAGGCCATGCAGTCTGGACGCCGGGGGCGCTTGTCCGTTGCAGGGCCAAGCAACCAACCCCAAGATACCCTTACCACCAGCCCCTCCATATCTGGTGATCTTCGGCTGCTCCACACAATGTAGGTAACTACGTGAAGGAGGTGATGATGTTTTCTTCTCCCCATCAACTGATGGTTTCTAGCTGGCCGAGACCAGGTGAAAGTGCTGGTTGCTTAAAGCTTTGGATAGGTGGAGGTGTCCCTATGTAAGGAGCATCCTTTCCCATACAAAACTGTTTAACGCTGGCTTACACGTTTCAGCAGAGTTCAGGCTGATGCTCTAAGCCAGCATTTTTAGAAGCAGCTGAAAAATACATCCCTTCCTGGTAATTCCTACAGCTATGACATGGCAAGGCTTTTCGGCTTGACCTTGATGTATTGTTAGATTTCTGGCTGACTTCCTGATTTATTCCTTCAGTATTTATGGCTGGGCTATTATTTTGTTTTCTGTTCGGTTTTATATTTGAATCCTTTTTAAAAAATTATGACTTGTTTATTTGGCGTGAAGGCCTGCGCCTTATAAATATGTTGGATTTTCAGCCTCCGTAATTTGAAATGTGAGGTTCCTGGATTTAGCATTGTTATTATCATCAGCGACAAAAGAGGAAAGCTACTAAATGCGAATATTTTGGTCATCCTTCCCAAACAGAGACTGTGGAGATCAGCTTCTTTGCTGCCAGTTCAATAACGATGGGACCAGGGTTGCAGCAGGATTGCGTACTGGAGCCATTAAGGTCAGTGTCAGTCAGGGAAAGAGGACAGTTCCAGAAACCAGGATTGTCCCCAGAGGGGAAATCAAAAAATCCAAGAACACAGCCACATCCATGCAATTGAAGCTCCACGTCTTTTTCATATATGAGACATATATGTTACATATGTGTGTGTGTGAGAGAGATCTGACTTACATAGCTGCAGCTCAGAAATGGGCACTTCAATCCCCACAATGGAAGAATGGCTACAAAAGTGGATGGAGTGAGCAGACATGGCTAAATTGACTGCTTTGATAAAAGGAAAAACACAAGTACTTTTGTTTCTACTTGGAAACCGTTTTGGGATTTTCTGCTTGAGGTGGTTAAAAAAATGAAACTTTGATTTTGGGTTTTACCAATTAGATAGATTTGTTGATACAGAAATGGCTAGTTTATACTACTATGTAAAAGGAAAAAGTTGAGGTTTGATGTTACTATCTTATTTTACTGCACCAAGGGAGTCAGAAGTCAAAGCCTTTTCTTTCTTTTTTCCCTTCCTTTCTGCACTCTTCCCTTCACTTTTTCCTCCACTATTTTTCCTACTATTTGTTTTTGTTTTTTTTATATTTTATATTATAAACAAATAATTAAAAAAAAAAGAGTTCCCAACCAGGGGCTCTTAAAATCCAAAAAATTGCATAGCCACAGCTACCTTCTTAACTTTTTTACACACACAAATACCACCTACAAACAGGTGCCATACTATCTTTGGCCTCAACGTTCAGCAGTCTTACCTAACCTGGCTCCCTCTCCCAGATGTGCTATACTCCAAGAGACTGAGGTGAAAAGCAACAGGCTCAAAAGACTGGTAGAGATTTTGAACACCCACCTCTGCCTGCTGGAAATCAAAAGCAGGGGATGAGCGGGATCAGAGATTACAAAATTCTTTGCCCTTTCTTTTTTGGCATCCGATCAATGATCACAGATTTTCAGCAAGCTCAAAGCATTCTGCACAATGCTTGCTTCAAGATAAAATCATGAGTACATCAAAGCATTACAGAACTGAAGAAAGGATAATTTACAACAACGTAGGAGCTCCTGTGATGTAATAGTTATAATGTTGGACTAGGAGTGGAGAAAATTGGATGCAGGTCTATTCTAAAGTGTGGAAAGTCACCAGATGACTTGGGGCCAGCCCCTTCCTCTCAATCATTTCATAGGGGTTCACAATGAAGAGAGATCCCTCATATACCGCTTTGATATTCTAAAGGAGATTATAAATATAATCAATTATACTAATCAGAGATTTGCAATCTTAAATATATTTACCAAAGAGTAAAACCACCAGACTCCAAAGGACTGGCATCTAAGTAGATCCACACAGAACTGCAATGAATGGTGATTTGATTGGCTCATGATATCATTAAAATTAGAGCTCCAACTATTAGTGTACAGATAGTCCTTGACTTGCGACCATAATGGAGCCCAAAATTTTTGTTGCTAAGTAAGACATTTGTTAAGTGAGCTTTGCCCCATTTTATAACTTTTCTTGCCACAGTTGTTAAGTGAGTCACTGCAGTTGTTAAGTTAGTAACACTGTTGCTGAGTGAATCTGGTTTCCCCATTAACTTTGCTTGTCAGAAGGTCATAAAAGGTGATGATGCAACTGTCAGAAATGTGAGTAAATTGCCAAGCATCTGAATTTTGATCACATGATCATTGGGAATACTGCAAGAGCTGTAAGTGTGAAAAACAGTCATAAGTCCCTTTTTTCAGTGCTGTTGTAACTTTGAACAGTCACTAAATGAACTATTGTAAGTTGAGGACTAACTATATGTTGTAAGTTGTCTCACATCAAGGAGCCCCACTGGATCATTCAGCTTCATTCAATAGGGATAGATAAACTGTGGTCTTCACAGCATACCTGAATTGTATCACCAACATTTGGCAATAAGCCTCTTCAGTTTTGTTCAATGTGACCCTTTCTTTCCTTCCTTCCTTGCTTCCTTGCTTCCTTCCTTCCTTCCTTCCTCCCTCCCTCCCTCCCTCCTTCTCCCTTCCTTCCTTCCTAAATATATTCCAGTTATAAACCCTCAACCTGCTAAAACAAACACACACACATTCAAACAAGGAAAGGATACCTCCTACCACATACACACACATACTCCAGGGGTGAAATCCAGCAGGTTCTGACAGGTTCTGGAGAACCAGTAGTGGAAATTTTGAGTAGTTTGGAGAACTGGCAAATGCCACTTCTGGCTGGCCTCAGAGTGGGGTGGGAATAGAGATTTTGCAGTATCCTTCTCCCAGGAGTGGGGAGGGAATGGGGATTTTGCAGTATCCTTCCCCTGCCACCCCCACCAAGCCACGCCCACCAAGCCATGCCCACAGAACTGGTAGTAAAAAAATTTGGATTTCACCACTGACACACAGACACATAAAATGCTATTAAATCTGGACATTATTGAAGTTACGATTATTCTCCAGGATCCCCGACAAATTTGTTTCCTGGATGGTGAGGGTTGAATGTGGGTACTGGTATGCCTTCAGAAATTTGCAAAGTATATAGTGTACATTAAATCCGTTCTACAGAAATGGAACCATAGTGCTATTCAAAGTGTTGTTCTCTGCTATATTATCAATTTCAGCTCCAAAATTACAATTTTATAGAACATAGTTTCATGATATTTTCCATGGGAAACACCTACATTCCTTTGGATTTCTATGGTATGGTTTTTGCTTAATGGAATATTAGCCATTTCTTGTAAATTGTTAACTTCCTGTCATCCTGATATCTCTTCTCTCCTGAGCTCAATTTATTTTCTCCTGTCTCAAAGTTTAGTGCTGATATTCCTTTGTCTCCTCTCCTGTGCTTAAGGTTTATTCTGTCAGTGATGGATCACTTCATCACATTCTTGCTGATAATGAAACAACATCCCTAGGACTTCCTACCACCTCACTGCACTTTATGCCCCGTGGACCTGCCCACAATGGAGATGTCATACTTACCACCTGTAAGTAATACTTTTCTGATATGAGGAATTGGCACACAGTATTCATTTCTTTTTGTTTGGGGTATGCAAGGCTATGAATATTATTAAGCCTTCATAATAAAATAAATGTTAAATTTATTGTAAAGAAGGACTATGAGTGACATGACAACAGTGTTCCAATATCTGAGGGGTTACCACAAAGAAGAGGTAGTCAAACTATTCTCCAAAGCACCTGAAAGCAGGACGAGAAGCAATGAATGGAAACTAATCAAGTTCTAATCTAGAATTAAGGATAAATTTCCTGACAGTTAATCAGTGGAACAGCTTGCTTCCAGAAGTTGTGAATGCTCCAACACTGGAAGTTTTTAAGAAGAGATTGGACAACCATTTGTCTGAAATGGTATAAGATTTCCTGCCTGAGTAGGAGGTTGGACTAGAAGTCCTCCAAGATCCCTTTCAATTCTGTTATCTTGTTATTTGGTTTAGTTTGATATGTGAATGGAGCTATTTAGCATTGCCATTTGTACTTCTCTTGATCGTCTAACTGTGGCTGCATCCTTAAGCATTGACACAGAAAACCTATTGCACATTTGATGTTTTACAAAGTTGTTGAAGTGAGAAAAGGATTCTTCCTAATTGTGCTCCTTTTTGACTTTTGTTGCCTTATGAAAAATAATGTTCTCTATCTACATTGAATAATATCATTACATCTCTGAACTCTCTCCCAACCATAGATTCTGGCGGGAAAGTGAAACTATGGCACGTCTCTACTCATACCTGCGTGCGTACCATCACAGAAGATCGCCAAACCCTCGCATCCTGTTTCAATCCTTCTGGCTCCAGGTTTCTCACAAGTGGAGCAGGACCTGGAATTTACATGTATGATGCTCAGACTTGGGATAAATTGCAAAATTTTCTGCCCAGGTACGCTGTTAAGTTTCGGACATTAGCTCTTGAGAGGGTCAGAAATTGTAAGAAGTAAATAATGGGCTCAACTTAGTAGGGAATTTTATGGATGGTTTTTGGCTTTTAAGTGAAATTGTAATGGACAGAAGGAGGAAGAGCTCCAACCAAGACAATGGTCAGGTAAAAGAAAATATTTGTAGCTCTTATTGGTGGTTTGGTTCCCCAAGCTAGCTGTTTGGCTTCCGAACATTTCGTCACCAGGCTAAGTAATGGCATCACCAAAAACGTTGAAGTGTCTCATTTCAGTTCTCCTCTGCTTTTAAATGGTCTTGTGTGGTTATGTGGTTGGTTGACTGTGTGGTTGACAGGTCACATGATGCAAAGATCACATGGGTGGGGTTGGAAATCGTGCTGGTTGATGGTCACATGGTCACAGCATGCAAAGGTCACCTGGAGGTCAAAGGAACTCTTGAGTTTGGGCTAGAACTGTAACCTGAGTCTCAGACAAGATTCTCTGTAGGCCACATGAAGATAAAGGGAGTGTGTTAGTACAGCCTTATAATAAAAGTAGTATTATCTTGCATAATTTAGGTTTCCTAATCTGGACTATCTCATCTTTTTCCTCCAGCGATTCCCCAACGGTGATGGATGGGCATATGTCTCGAGTCTATGCTTTGACCTTCTTCCCAGAAAACAACGAACGCTTCATTTCTGGAGGATGGGATGATACAGTGCAGGTGAAACTCTGGGACTCAACCAGGAACATTGGTTGTGCTGCTGAGCAGTTATGGGGTTGAGAATTGGCAAATGGAAATTTCAGGATCCAGTACAGAAAATAGCCCATGAAAAATACTTTTCTCTGTTTACAGGCATACATTAAAAAGAAAGCCTGCCTGGGAATAATTCTCACTTTATCCACCCCAGCTTTTTTTATTTTGAGGGGGGCTGCTGGTAGTGTCTTATCCTGAAAATATCAGAGTTACTCTAGAGTTCCAGGTTTGAACAACCCAAAACCTCAGCCAAGTTGACCACTATTTTGCACAAACACAGGGAGAACCTATAAAACATGCATAATACCCATTGGTGCTGCTCTGCCTTCATTCATGTGAACCCACGGTGGTTTGATTCAAAATAGGAAGATTGGGGGTGGAGCTTAATAGCAATAGTAATAACAATAGTACTTATATACCATTTCATAGTGCTCTACAGCCCTCTCTAAGCCATTTACAGAGTCAGTGTACTGCCCCCAACAATCCAGGTTTTACCTCATTTTACCAACCTCGGAAAATTGGAAGGCTGAATCAACCTTGAGCTAGTCATGATCAAACTCCTTGCAGTCAGCAGAATTAGCCTGCAATACTGCATTCTAACCACTGTGCGACCATAGCTCTTAATGTCCCCACCTCCACCCTCAGCCTCCTTTTAAAAATAATTCACTTGTCTCTATAATGGGGGGAAGAATGGGGAGATTAAGGGAAAAAAAGGCCTGAAGGAAAAGATTAGGTTCCCCTTACCCCGTTCCATGTTTAAATGGTCCAAAGCAGTGGTGAGTTGCCCCCGGTTCGCACTGGTTCTATAGAACCGGTAGTAAAACTGGTGGGAGGCTCCGCCCACCCACCCCGATGTCATCAGAACGCTTTTGTGCATGCACACGGCCCCGTTGTGAACCGGTAATAAAGGTAAGTAGAACCCATCCCGGTCCAAAGGTGTGGACCAGGGGTGGGTTCTACTTACCTTTACTACCGGTTTGCAATGGGAGTGTGCACGCACATGTGCAGATCACCCATGATGACATTGTGGCAGGTGGGCGGAGCCTCCCGCCAGTTTTACTACTGGTTCTATAGAACCGGACTAAACCAGGAGCAACCCACCACTGGTGTGGACTACGGGTGTGCAATCTTTGGGAATCTTTAAAATCTTTTTTTTTTTTTAATTTGATCTTCGAATGGCATCAGGTGCAGATTACAGACAGATGGGTAGCAATGTGGTGCCATCTCTGGAGGGGATGAGGCTGGATTTTTCTGCCATTTGGAGGGTAGGATTTGAATTGGTCAAGTGGCTTCTAACAGATGTGTAACACTATTAAAAGAAAGCAGTGGGGTTTTTAATATTTTAACCATGCTGTCCAAAATAAGTAATTTAGCTGTAAAGTTTAGCTTTGCCATCTTGGTAGGAAGGTCTCTGCAGGCCACAGGGAGTTTCGGGCTTTGGGAGACATACTTTAAAATGCATCCTGGAATCATAGGTGCCATTGATTGTTCCAACTCCCAGGCCATGGACTAGCACCTGGCCGCAGCATGCCAGAAACCGGTCCATGCAAACAAGCAAAGTCCCATCTGTGAGATGCAGGCAGCACACAAAATCACACCCCCTCAGGTCCACTGAAAACCTCTCTCCACGGAACCGGTCCTTAGTGCCCGAAAGGTTGGGGGATACTGCTATAGGCGATAAATCAGGCAAGGAAAATGTTATCAAGTGGGCCTTGGAGGGTGTGAAGTTATCTAACAACATTTTTTTTTTTTTGCTTTTTCTCCTTCTAGTTTTGGAACACACAATTTCCACATTCTCAACGGTATGTCTAAATATCTCCCTTACTTCTCCATTCAGCACCATTACGTCACTCTTTGGGCCCTTCTCCACCTCCTCCCTCTTCCATTTCTCCTTTTTTCTTTCTTTCTCTAACCTATTGTTTCTTCTTCTGTAGCTTCTGTTCTTACATTTTCCCCACCTTTGCTCTGCCCTTCTCACAGGCGTATCTCTGGGCCCCACATCTGTGGGGATGCTCTGTCAATAGACAAAACGGGCTCACAGATTTTGACGGGATCCTGGAGGCGGCATAACACCCTGCAGGTAAGAGTGGTGAAGAGACATCTCTGAAGCTCCAAAGTTGATGTAGAGGTTTTGGAGATCATTTGGATTTGGTTCCTTTGACACAGAACCAATAGAAGAGAATAATTGTAGCTCAGGGTTGGATTGTGGGGTCCTTGGTGCTCTCTGAACTTGGTTGTTTTCTCGCAGATGTTTTATTACCAAACTAGGTAACATCATCGGTGCTAGAGGGAATGGGTTTGATCTCTGTTTATCTACCAGTAGCTTGCCCTATCAATATTTATGGGAGTAGTCTTGATGGTTCCTCAATTAGATTGTTAGATTTTTTGTCTGAGTTTGTAATTCCGTGATTGGGATATTGTTTATTTCTTGATTCTTGGTCTAGTATTAATAGCAATAGCAATAGCACTTAGGCTTATATACCACTTCACAGTGATTTGCAGTCCTCTCTAAGTGGTTTACAGAGTCAGCATATTACCCCCAACAATCTGGGTCACCATTTTACTGACCTCGGAAGATTGGAAGGCTGAGTCAACCTTGAGCTGGTGAGAATCAAACTGCTGGCAGTCAGAATGAGCCTGTAATATTGCATTTTAACCACTGTACTACCATGGCTCTCTTATCTTGGTATTAACCTGGGTGTGGACTGTTGATGGGGAAACGTTTTGGTCTTTTTGGTTTTTTTATTGTCTCTTTTGAATGGTATTTAAGGTTTATTTCTATGTACCTATTGTGCACAAGTGCGATAAATCAATGATCAACAGGCATTAAGATTGCAATATCCTGGGATCACTTGATTGCTATCTGCAACCTTCCCAGTCAATTTCCAACAAGCTAGATCAATGAGGGAAGTCTGATTTGCTTAATGACTGCATGATTCATTTAACAACTTTGATGATTCGCCTAACAACCCCGGCAAAAAAGGTTGTAAAATCAAGCACAACTTAACAACCACCTTACTCAGCAATGGAAATTTTGGTCCCAATTGAGGTCATAAGTTGAGGACTCCTGGAAAAAAAATAGTGCTCAGTGCAAAAGTTACTGCAAATATGTATTGACTTTCAAATATTATAGAGAAATAAAACTCTGCCTTTCTCATTTATAACAGCTTTATCAAATCTATAATTCTGGATGAAATGCTATGTAAAAATAGACATGAGGAAAGTGCAGTCTTGTTATTGGTGTGTAATGTCATTGCAATTCTGCATTGATTATTGTTTTGAGATATTCATTTGAAAATAGGCCAAATTTCTATTTTCATCTATAAAATTTGGGAGGATAGAGTAGATTTCCTTGTGCAGAGTGAAACAAATTTGCAGGGAATGCTTCCAGATCATTTTTCTATTGTTGCATTATATAGTAAAATATATATGCAGAAGCTCCAGTTTATCTCTAATGCTCGAGATAAATGAGATGTGATATAATATGAATCATTCAAACATTCCTTTAAACAACAGATATGTCATATATTTATACACATTTCAGGTAATTCTATAAGCCCTATAAAATTCATGAATGAGAAATACATTCATTGGATTTAAATATCACACTAAGATTAGTGAGATGTGAATACCTGCCATTTTGCTTTGTCAGACATGATTTATTGCTTAGCATTATAGGTACACAGGTAAACAGATTTACAATAGGAATGACTATATGTAGCTCAGGTGAAGGATGAGGGTGAAGGTTCATTCTCTGAGCTTGTGGGTTGGTTTCCAAATGTTTCACTTGAGGTGACCCACACCTGACCCACCATAAGACCTTCACCTGACATGACTCTCATTTGATGTGACCTCCCCATCACAAGACCTACTGACCACACCTGAAGCCCTTATAAACAGAAGAACAGGGACACTGACATCTCCTAAATTACATTACTAGCCTGGTAATGAAACGTTTGGAAACCAACCCACAAAGGCAGAGAACAAACATCCATCCACAAAATGTTTCTGAGAAACCATAGCATAAAAATCTGGAAATACAGTCTAGGAACCAGCCGATAAAATACAAATAAATATTATTATTTTTGCCTCTTCCCTAGGTTTGGGATGCTGAAACATGTGGCAAGATAATGGACATTCCAGAAGATTTTCGGGGTCATTCACAGGTTGAAGAACTATTTCTTATTATTCCCAAAACTCAGACAAAGCCAACATTTCCCAAAGTCTAGTGTCCTCTAGAAGTGTTGGATCATTTCGCATAAACTCTAACCAGCATGGAGAAGAGTGATATTAACCCATCATACATTTTTCAATAGGGCTCCTTTCTGAAAATAGCTACCAAACCACCAAATTTATAAGACACATGAAACCCCTTCTCTTATCTTCTCACTGCAAAATCCACTTGGATTTAATATTTCCACCTTACATTTCTCCAACCCTGTGATCACATTTCTTCAACAAGACTGTTCATTTTGGCTCAGCTGTGGTGCAAGACAGAATGCTCTGAATTTGGAACTCTCGTAGCCCATTTCCTCTTTGAAGGGAACTGTCCTCTTATCCTTTCTCCTGATTTTTGGACTTCAACAGCCCTTGTAGCTTTTGTAATGGGAATAGTCACTTAATGGCTATCGATACTGACCTTATTTTCCTGGAGAAATGTGGAAGGATAGTCATTGTCCAATGAATTTTTCTCTTCCACTGAAAAACAAACCAGACCAGACTACTGTTTTATGATTGTAGTATGCCCAACAACGTGAAATCACAGCTGCCAGCTCTTTAGCTGGTTTTGGCTGCTTACACATTGAGTTCTTCCCAAGGACATAGGGCATTGCGATGTATCAACTATATGGTATATACTATAGTAGTGGCTCCAAGCAGTGTGGCCTTTTGCAATTGAGAGATGGAAAATTTGCCAATATGCAGATTTTTTAAGTGCCATCCAAGATTTTTGAATATAGCACCCAGCATGTTGATAAACCACTGGGATCACCACAACTGTTCCATACCATAATCTTTCAATAGACTTTGGGTAGACTTGGTGTGGGACTGTATTTTCTGCCGCTGGTTCTCAGTCCTGCAATATCAAGGGGGTTGGAGATATTTGCAAGAAAACTCTTTTCCAGGATTGGGGGGTAAAAGTGAGAATGCCTCAGTTTTATTTGCGGTGATTTCAACAGTTATAGTTTCTCTGTCTGTAGCCCCATCATGTAGTCTTGTTCACTTATATAGATTGTGTGTCTTAGTGTCATTGTAACGGTGCACATCTGCCAACTGAAAGCTGATCATTCTTGGCAAAAAAAATGATAATAGGGTTCTTTTTTGATTGGTTTAATGAAGGGACTTTCTCTTGCTTTCCCCTCAGGTATATACTTGCCACTTCCTTGGCGCTGACTACATAATAGCTGGTGGGAGTCGGAACAACTTGTGTCGACTCATTGACAGAAGAATTCTCATGGTAAAATAGCTTTGCTAATCCTTGCAGGAAAGGGCTTGACTTTGTAGTAGGGCAGGTGTTTTGCACCCCATGTTTAGTCTCCAGGAGCTTGAGGGTCACACAACATGGACTTTGTGGTACCAACATGTACTCCGAGAGCATATTCACCAAGACAAATTCCTTATGTGTCCAATCACATTTGGCCAATAAAGAATTCTATTCTTTAAAAAAAACATAATGGGTTTTGTTGTATTGTTATATTTATTAACCAACATAGTTATTTTGTATTTTAATTTTATTTATTTTTCTCTCTTTTAAAATTGTGATAAGGGTTTATCAAGCCATTACAGACTGGAATGTAGGAAAACTTTTTATCCTATGGCTGTGTGGATAGATTGATAGCTTCTAACATTCCTAAACTGAAAAGATAAATTCCCCAGGTCAGGATAGGATAGGAACATGTTTGATTTAATAGGATGTCCGGAATTTGTTAACGCTAATTGGTATCTGATTTGTCTCTTCGTGAACTCCAAACAACCTTTTTTCTCATTAACATCTTAAATTTTATACCCTTTGCCACCAGACCTCATTTAAATGGACATGCATGTAACATGTTTGACTACATGCAGCTGATTTACTGTGCAAAGAAGGGATTACTTTCATCCTGTCCAAACAACTTTTCTCTTATATTTTTTTTTGATGTGTTCATTATAAAGCAGAATATAAGCTATGGATCTGGATTCCCTCTTTGAATGAGAGGACTCCCCTTTAATCAGAATGTTTTGAATAAATTGTAATTAAATGATCTTCTTGTCTCGGCCTGACTCATTGGAAAATATGCACACCAATGCACCAGCCTAAAAGACTATATTTGATTTTCAAACTCCCAAAAAGAAACCTGTGGTGGTAGCAGCTGATTTCTGCCCTCTTTCTTTTGTTCAGTAGTGGAGAGCTTGTCAATCAAAGAATACAGGGTTGGTGGGACTAATTCGTTCCTGGGGCAGGAATGAATTAGCAATGAATCTTCAAATTCAAAATACTGAAGGCAGCAACAGTGAATGGCAATGTTTATGCAGTGTTGGAAACAGAATATTGAGCTTGAAGGACTTATGAGGCGAAGGAATCAATTTATGATACCTTTCAGTTACAAGACTAAGTGAAGGGCTAGTTTGCAAGGGAGGATAGGGTAAGAAGAATATATTAAGCCTGTGTTTTTTCGAGCTCGACAACTGCTGACTGGAGAATTTTGGGAGTTGAAATCCACATATCTTAAAAGGTGCCAAGCCCGAAAAACAGTTTATTAAAGCCTCTTCTAATATCTATTTTCTTCTTCTTTCCAGAGCACAGGGGTACTTAATGACCTGCCTGGAGGTGTTTATAGTACCCACATCAGCTGTCGTGGAGTTCTAGCTGCAACTTCCAACAACTTCCTGTATCTTGCACAGACTCCAGTAAAACCTTGAAACTCTCCTCTGTCATTGCGAGGAACTCTTGCTACCACCTGAAGGATATCAGCAATGTCTTTGATCATCATGACTCTTACCAACCTTTCCTAGTATCCTGGATGTCAGTCAAAATCATGCAAAATCAGTCACCTTGGTATGCCTGCCGTCTCCCCATCATCTTCTGCTTCTCTGTGGACAAACAGAATCATGGTCTGTCCATAGAGACTCCTGCTTGATTGGATGTGCCCCATTTCATCATGCTGTGCTGATGTCAATCCCTTCTCACCATTATCCTCTGGAGATATTGTTCTGCTGGAATCATCTCATCATGGTTTTCTTCAATCATCTCATCATGGTTTGTTTCTGCGGAGATGTTTTGTTTTGATCTTGGGCCCAATGCTCTGTGACTCTCATCACATGCAATGTTCCATGCAAGAAATCTTAACTGTACATCATGTTTCCTGGGATTGGCACTAACTGGGTTAGTTCTGCAGTGAATATCCCATCTATTGTTGCTGCTGGCAATCCCAACATGCCTTGCTGCTTCAAACCTTTGCTTGACAATGTCTGTCATACACTTCATATTAAATTGACAGTGCCTGTTCTGAGGACCATATGGGGTTTGAAATGGTTCCCACAACCCCAGATTGCAGAGAATTCCATCATCCTCTGAACAGCTTTCTAATCAAACCACTGGAGGGGAAGAAGCGTCCAGTATTTCTGCCTTAAGTTTCCATCCTGCCTCGGGGGGTTAAGCTTTCTATGTCACTTCTTTCTCTCTTTTCATAGCCACCTCCTAGGGTGGCTGCCCTAAAAAAACTGCCTTGGTGCCAAAATAAAACATCTTGGCTGAAACTTTGTGTGTGTCCAGTAATGCTGGGTCTCTGGCAAGGAAAATGGGATCTATTGGAACAGGAATGCAATAGTGGGGAACTAAGGCTTCTGGATTCCTTGAAATGGTTAAGGATTTCATTCCTAGGGCTAAGTCATTGAATATGTGAAACAATAATATAAATATCTATATAGAATTGGAAGGAACCTTAGAGATCTTCTAGTCCAACCCATGCTTAAGCAGGAGAGTGGCTGTCTAGCCTCCAATGATGGAGTACCCACAATCTCTGAAGGCAAGCCGTTCCACTGGCTAATTGTTCTCACTTTATAAAGTGGTACTAGTATTTCATATGATCTATCCCTCTGTTAATGCAACCTATGATTGTGTTGGCTTTTTTGGCTGCTGCTGCACATTGCTGGCTCATATTTAAATGACTGTCCTCCAAGGTCCCTTTCATAGTTACTGCTAATCTGTACATTTCATTTAATCTGTAGCTGTACATTTGATTTTTCTTGCTTAATTGTAAAGCTCTACGTTGAATTTCATTTTGTTAGATAGAAGGTTTTCCAGATCAAAGGAGTTATTTGATACTGAGGAAAGGATCAGGTACACTAGGCCAGTACCTCAATCATAATATCAAATTGTCTGGTTTGCCAGTAGACAATCAATCTGATCCCTGTAGATCACTTTTCAATTGATGGAAGAGTTGATTTCCCTTCCATATGGAAATAACCCACACTCCGGAAAATCTTTTTAGTTTCAATAGTAGTGAAATGCTGATATACAAGAAGTCTTTGAATTATGGCCCTTCATTTAGCAACTCTTTCTAAGTTAGAATGACTGCTGAATTAAGACAATGGCCATTGCAACATCCCTGCAGTCACATAATTGTAGTTATGGCACTTGTCAGCTATTGTGCATTTGTGATAGTTGTTGTATTCTGTGAGATGGATTTGCCATATTCAATCTTCCTAACTGGCTTCTGACAAGCAAAGTCAATGAAAAGCTGACAGGAGATCATAAGTCACATTCATGTGATGTCTTGGTTAACAATTGTGGGTGATATGCTTAATGACTGCAGTCATGTGATATCTTGTTTAACACAGCAGAAAAGCACAGCAGAAAAGGCCTTAAAATCAGGTGTGGTCATATGCTGCCTCACTTAATAATCACATTGCTTAATGATAAATTTTCTAATCCCTATTATGGTCATAAATTGAGGACTATCTGTATTAAATTCATTGCACTGTACAAAGGCTCATAACCAGGAGTTCAGGAAGTCAGGGAATCTTTTAAAAGAGGGTTTATCTAGTTTTCTAATCGTAAAATTGAGTTAAGAAAATAGGTGAGAGAGCCCAATCCAACTGCATCTTTGGCTATAGATCTGGATTGCAAGAGATTTTGGGGAACATAGTTCATACAACAGAAGGGAGAGGAAGAGAATGAAGTGCAATAGGGAATGTAGCCGTAAGTTGCCTAATACTTGAACCATACAAAGTACGCCAACAGATGTCAAATATTCTCTGTTGGAGTTTGCAGCAATCTAACTAGCACACAAGTAAACAATTCAGCAGGATTCATTTATAAAAGAAACTTTTTTATATACAGTAATATAAAGCATGATGCATGTATACAATACCTATGCAGCAGAAGCCAGAAGCACAGAATCAATATAATCACAGAACCAATAATGCAAGAATAAACCAACTCTTTTATACATAACAGTCAAGCTAAGCCATGCCCAGGCTCCAAACTGTCTGAGCACACCAAACAGTCCCCATTGGCTGACCTGTTGTCATGTCTATTCCAATTCATGAACTCATATACTGACATTCTCAGTTGAGCTGCATAGCAAAATGGCTTGGCAAATTGGTTGAACAATGGTGGGGGGGTGGTAGGAAATATTAAAAAGGGTCGCAGTGATCCAATTTAAACATGGTTTTGGAGGAAAACATGACTGGCAACACAGCAGAGATAAACAATGGAATTAAAAAGGAGGCTGTATAAACACCAAGTTTAGAGTTTACCATTTCTTAACTGAGGCAGAGTTTGAATATTTTAAAACACTTGCATTTTATAGCTTTGCTTTATTTTATTTAAAAAAATGTAGGATGCCCCAGTGAAGCTGCTGTTATTTAGATTCAGGAACATAAACCATTCTGGTTTTGAAGAGGAGAGGTGAACAATTTGTTCCTTATAGATCTTCCATGCCGGAGACATCCTGTTTTCTCTTTCAAGCAGCTTTTTGCAGCAACTGCCCTGTCTCCTTCCCCCCACCTCCCCATTTATTGCTGCTTCAGCATTTTTCATGCCAGTCAATGCCCTGACTATTCCAGAGTCCAAGCAAAGTCAAAGTTCAGTGGTAAGCGTTGACATGTGAAACCTTGCCAATGAATATTGTTTTGCAAGTTTATCCAACCTCCAATAAGACTGGCTCAGGTGTCCTGTAGCCTGGGCTCAGTTTTATAAGATTGGACCTGCCACCTCTGGTCCGGTAAACAGCCTAGTGCAGTGATGGCTAACCTTTTTGCCATCGCGTGCCAAAAGCAGGGGGAATGTGGGGGGGTTGCACACACATGTGCCCACCCATAATTCTATGTGCCTCACCCCCGTGCATGTGTGTGCAACTCCTCTGTGCTTCCCCCCGCTTTCAGCACACGATGGCACAGTGGGCCCAGTAGGCCTGTTTTTTGCCCTCTCCAGGCTCCAGAGTCTTTCTAGGAGCCTGGGGAGGGCAAAAACGGCCTTCCCCCCCCCCCCACCGGAAGCCCTCTGGAGGCCAGAAACGGCTTGTTTGCTGACTTCCAGTAGATCCAGAAGGCCTGAAAATCAGCTGGAGCTGAGCTCGCGTGCCGACTAATATGGCTCCGCGTGCCATCTGTGGCACATGTGCCATAGGTTTGCTATGATGGACCTTGTGTTTAAAGATCCAGGTGTTGCTTTTACATCTCAGGCATCCAAGTTGGCATGGATACTAAGAATTTGATCTCTAAATCTGGGAGAGAGACATTAATTTTACAAAGTGGTTTTTTCATGCCCCCCACTATATCACAAGAACTTCAGGCAAAGTGAAAACATGTTTATTGCCGGGGGGGAGGGGGGGTTGAAGTCTTAATATGGGATACAGAATGAATGATTTGTAGGTATAGATGATGCATCAGAAAGCAACAAAACATTGATTAGATGTGAGAAAAGACAGAACATCCTTAAAATATCTTGCATCTTCCCCTTTTCCATCCAGGCTTGTTGCTTTAACACTTGCCAACACCCCAGGACTCCATAATACATTCCCTGTTGTTTAGTTCATGAATAGGCACATTTTTTTAAAAAAGGGCTCTGGCTAAAAAGCCAAACTGGAGAGCCAGTTTGATCAAGTGGTTAAGGCAGAAGGCTAGAAAATGGGAGACTGTGAATTCTTGTCTCTCCTTAGATATGAAAGCCATTTGAGTGACTTTGGGGCAGTCACTCTATCTCAATCCAACTCAGTTCACAGGGATGTTATTGTGGGGAAAATGGAGGGAGCATTAGATATATTTCTATACTGTCATTATTTTTACAAATAGCTCAAAGCAGTAAATATACCGCCCTGAGTTATTTATAAAAATAATAATGGTGGGATACAAATAAATAAAATGAAAAGTAAATGAAAAAGCATGATTTCCTTAACTTCAAAAGGAGGCACAGATGCCATGTTAAAATATGAACATCACCTTGCAATGCCTCTGTCTGTGTTACCTGCAATTTTAGGCTTCATTATTACCTTTTTAATAAAAGTATGCACCTAAATATATTTACAGTTGTGTTTTTTTTTTATATGAGCACTGCTGGCATTCTCATGTCAGAATAGGAATGGATGCCAAACTTATTTGCTGCTCCTAGCCTAATATTCTGTAGACCATTCAGAGCCATGGATTTGGGTCCTGGGATCCATCTTCATTGCACCCCTGAGTGCAGTTGCTTAGTTATGAGCCAGTGTAGGAACAAATTCTATACTAGAAGTGTTCTGTACTGAAGGTTTCGCCCCAAAGTTTCTCTGACCTCAGGTAGTTCCTGGATTCGTGGAAGTTGAGCCAGGATTGCCGTTATTAAGCAATACAACTACATCACATGATTGCATCCCTTAGTGACAAGCCTGGCAGTCTTAGCTGACACAATAACCCCACTGTTATTAAGTAAGAAATGGCCAGGAGTTCCAGATAAGGAGCATAGGGATGAGGAAAGCCAGTGGAAGCCTTGGAAGGGAGGGCTGATGAATGCCGCCTGGGAACTGGGGAAAGCCGCCAAAAAGGCCAAGGGATGGATGGTGCGATGGGGTGCAAATGCAGGAAGACTGGGGGGGGGCTTAATGAAGTGATTTGTGACCTTCCCTGCTGACTTCTCTGTTGACTTTGCTTGTGAGAAGCTGAGGGGAAAGGTCACAAATGGCGATCACATGACCTCAGGACACTGCAACTGTTGTAAGTGCAAGTCAGTTTCTAAGCACTCAAATCATAAATCACAGGACTGTGAGATTGCTATAAGGGCCAGAACTTTGAGGACCGGTTCTAAGTATCTCTTGTTCATCTCCCTTGCAGTTTTAGTTTACCAAACTAAATAGGTGGTTGGTAAGCAAGGACTACCTGCATAAAAATCTGGTATTACAGCTACCACTGGGAAAGGACAAAGTCACACACTCATAATTGGAAGAAATAATGCAGCTTTGATGACTGAACCTAGCTTCATCTGTATAGAAAAGATCCATAATCCTATTAATTTAGTGGCCCTTTTTTTGTCCATGACTGAATAACACATTTATACTCAGATCTCCTGTGCGAGTGAGGTTTTTGTGAGTGAAGTTTGTGCTTTTGCATCACAGGTGGGTGACTCTACATTCATGTAATCATGTATTTATCCTGGATTTCAGACAAATACTGCCTCCATCATTTCAGCAGGAAATCAATTCAGTCTCTATGAACAGTGATTTGTCTTGCATGGAGGGATTCGGCGATTCTTCCACCAAATTCTTTTTAAGATTTTAAGCCTAGGAATTATTTTTACACACAGTGGCTCAGCTTAGCTATAAAATATGTAAAATAATAAAAAGTTGCTACCAGAAATACTGTATATAATGCACAATCATCTGTGAAATCATGATGCTCTTGCTTATTAAATGGACTATCTTTCAAGTCAAAGGAAATAGTTCACCTACAAAAAGGTCAAAGGAGTCAAAATGGCAGCCACAACCATGTGGTTAAAATTCCGCTCCAAAAGAGTGAGACTTCGATCATGTGGCTCTGGTTCCATCTTGAAGCTTTTTTAATCACTTCCCTGTGGACACGTCTATACAGGATCTTGGGAATCTATATCCTAAAGGACTTCTCTTTACGGGATCTTAAGAATCTGGCATGGATCCCTCCTCCAGTCCACAAAAGCGAGGCAGAATACAGCTACAATTTATTTTGAAAGCAGCAGTTTTCTATCTATTGAAAGTTTTCAGTTTATATCTTCCCAGGAATTGAGGATATTAGATATGGGAACGGCTTCTCAAACAGACCCCCGCTCCCAAGCCAGGCGATAGAGAGAGTTGGCTGCAGAGATCATCCTGTCTCGGTATTCCAGTTCCATGTGATTTCCAGATGGGATGTCTTGGAGACCATATGTAAGGCCCCAGCAGCAAGCTGCGATTACCCCTGTGGAGTCACTGTCCCCTGGAGGACAAGAGAAACATACCAAAAAAAAAAAAGATTATGAGTGGCTGTGATGACTCCCCTGGATGCTTCCCCAGATGCTAGTTCAGAGAATGATGTGCCAGCAGCAGACAGCTACGTGTCAGGAGTGAAGGGGCTGAGCACAGGGGAACAACTGGACAAGCAGCCAGCTGAGTTAGAGACAGGAGAGGCACAGCTGCAGATGGGAAGCCCAGAGGCTTTGGGTAGAGAAGGCACCTAGCTGGTTGGTGGAGATAAAGAAGAACTACCTCCTCTTCTAGATCAGAGAACACACATAGGGCTGAGAGGAGGAAGGCACAAAGAAGGTTAGCCAGATTACTCATGAGGAGGCAGCCTCACCCCTCTTGATGAACTGCACCAAGAAGCAGTTATTTAGCTCAGTAAGGGAAGTGAAATGATGCTGGGAACAACGTGTCCATTTCCTTGCTGTGTGTTCTTGCCTTGCCTTGTCTTTGCCTTAGGGATTTGCTTTTGCCTAGTGGACTGGACTTGCCTTTGCCTTGAGGACTAGTGTTGGCTTCTTGTGAGTAGCCTAAGGAATTCTTTGGGACTGAGCTGGTTGGAATTAATTCAGGCTTGGAAGCCTTAATGAAGACTTCTAACACCTGTGATGTGTCTGTGTGTGTGTGTGTGTGTGTGTGTGTGTGTGTGTGTGTGTGTGTTTAGAACAGTACATTGTCGACTGGCGGCCCCCGGGGGGGGCTTCTCTGTGGGGGCACCCACTTTCTGGAACGAGCTCCCCCCAGAGATACGGAGGATCCCGGATCTGCGCACTTTCCGCCGTGCTCTTTAGACCCTCCTATTCCAGAAAGCTGGCCTGGCCTAATTTTCTCCCCTGTTTTAAAATTTTATTAAATCGAAATTTTAATCTGTTTTAAATTATTGGGATTTTTAATTGTCTCAGGCTAAATTATTTAATCTGGTTTTAATTATGTTTCTAACTTTTGTATCTATGCATTTTATTTTGTGCCTGTTCACCGCCCTGAGTCCTTCAGGAGTAGGGCGGTATATAAATTTAATAAAAGCAAAAAACAAAAAAACAAACATTGTCAGCTAGTTCTGGGATCAAGCATTTTACAGGGGAGGTTGTCACTCACCACCATGGAACATGGACCGTCCACAGAGCTGCTCCCAGCTGCTCCCAGCGCCCAGGAGGGCATCATAGGCAATCATGGGGGCATCATGGCCACTCCGCCCAGCCCACCCATCCAGGCTGAAGGTTTTGTAGATGACATCCCGCTCGGCAGGACCGTAGGCAGGAGGAAATTGAACTGGGCCCCGACCATCGATGAGACCCCGTTCTGACAGGTACCTAAATGTGGGATAATTAAGTTACATTTACTTATATGGCTGTCCAACATGCAAATAGGGATTCTGGGAGGATGGCATAGGGCTAAAAAACAAAGTAAACAAAAGGACAAAGAACAGCACAATATAGAAATAGTAAACATAATCTGATCTTCCCCAAAAGTGTTTTTTTCAAAAGGCATCTGGACTTTGTTTTTCCCCCAGCGGAAGAAGCCCCTGGACTATAGCAAATTCCTTGATCTCTGCTACAGGTTCTCCACACTTCTAGAAACCTCCCAGGGAAAGGGGAGGCTTTGGAAGTCAACCCCCGAATAGCTGGACGCTCTTAGACTACTTCTTGGAAGTAATCGGGTGAATCCCTGGCTGGGTTGGGACAACCATGCAAGTTCATTGTGTAAGAACCAGCTGTTCAAAATGAACAATAAAGGGTGCCACCATTTATTAGACACTAGTTTTTCTGCATAATTTACCTTTCATGCTAAAAGTATCTTCTTCTGGCTCCACTTGCCTTTTGAAAAAGCACTTTTGGACAACCATGACCTGAATAATTGAGAATCTCCATAGACATAATCTGATCCTCAAATCATTCTCAGGTGGACTCTTTTAACCTCTGGCCCAATACTTGGGAGGAAAAAACAGGTGAAAGGCTAACAGGTTCAGAGACCTCTGGAATTTGGGGGCAGAATATGCTGTTCCAAAGAGCAAGTGTTGTTTGGACAGAGAAGGCACACTTCCTGGGTTCCACTTAATGACTTTGTTTCCTAGAAGGACACATACCCACCCTACTGGATCTCATGGGGCAGACAGAGATAACTGAAGACAGGATTTAGAAGGAATTTGTAGTTGGTAACCAGCACCTCAAATTCTACTTGAAAGCTTATAGGAAACTAGTGAAGCTTAGTGGGCTTAATGGGCTTAGTATGATGCATTGGTAATTTCCCATGCCACCATATTCTGGTCTAAAACCTGTTTCTAGATTATCTTATTTATTTATATCCTGCCTTTATCATTTTTATAAATAACTCAAAGCAGTGAACACACAATATTTCATCTGCTTGGCTCAGATGAAAGACGTTAATGTGTTATTATCAGAATCCTCATGAACTTTGACCCTTTGCTGATACAAGCATAGGAGCAGAAGGAACATAAAAGTCCTCAGAAACATTGCAAACTAGGAACGTACCAGTTGGAATAGCCCCAGGGGATCCCCCAAATTGGGAAAGTAGATCCTTAAAAAAAAACTGTTCTTCAAATTTTGTGTGTGTGTGTGTGTGTGTGTGTCTGTCTGTCTGTCTGTCTGTCTGTCTATCTATCTATCTATCTATCTATCTATCTATCTTTCTATCTATCACATTTTTGAATTGCATATCTCCTCTTCTACGGCTTCCAGCTCTAATAAAAACCCTGCATTCCTTGTTCCCTCTCTTGCCCCAAGTACGGTACTTACCATTCCCACTTCTCTTGGAAATAGGACCAAGCTGCTACATTGGCTTCAGTCTCAACCCCAGCAGCCTGGATGTATTCCAGGGCAAGGGGCAGAGTCTTCAGCAACCCAGATCCCCAGAGCTCAAGGGGCAGTCCCTGGACAGTATACGCAGTGAAGAGGGCCGAAGCCAGAGATCCCAGATAGCCTAAACAGAGGAAGTAGAGAAAGGATATTTCTTTCAGGATTCTATAGTCCCCCCACCCCCACTTTTTTCCTTTTGATTGAATTACTGAAAGTTACCCCAAGCTTCCAAAGTTAAGGCCTGTATAACGATTTTGTTCAATGACTAGCCAAACATGCAACACAAAAGTAAAATCAAATGGATGAGATAAAATATGAACATAACCAGAGTCTCTGTAATAAAAGGGTAACATGGGTTACTATGATTGGTTATGTGCTATGAAATTGTTTTCCACTTCCAGTGACCACATAGATAAGAATGAGACTCCACTTCTTGGCTTTGACAATGAGGGTGTTGTGATGTCTTACAAAAATTTCTAGCACCAAAAGAGTAATGCGAGAAAAGGAAACGGACAATATAGCTAAGCTCATCCCCAAAGGATTTTCATAGGACAAGAAATTTCATAGAAACTATACTATGTTTCTGTGCTGGTATGTTACCGTAATTAACTGTGCAAGTGTAAACAGGGCATCCAAAATATTACAACCTATGAAGTAAAATACATATTGCCTAAAACCAGAAAACTAAGACATAATAAAGCTGAATTGATAATTCTGGTCTGTGACTTAATAAAAACTGATTGATCGAAAGCTGAATTGATGAATAAAACAAAAGCATTTATTCCTGAGACCAAGTTTGCCTTATTTTCATTGTGGCAACACAGAGTTTTGCTACTGCACAAGCGAAGAAGGGTTTCAAATCCCTAAAAGATGATTCACATAGAAATTGTCCGGTTTTCCTAGGATTTTACATATTAGGAACAGGTTCAAATAGAATTTTTCCAATAATAATTTGGGGAAAAGTGGCTTGACCAGTGGTGGGTTCCTCCCAGTTGTCCGGTTCTATAGAACAGGTAGTAAAACCGGCAGGAAGCTCCACCCACCTGCCACGATATCATCATGAGTGATCTGCGCATGTGCAGAAGCGCAGGCGCTCTCATTGCGAACCGGTACTAAAGGTAAGTGGAACCCACCCCTGGGCTTGACCCAATTTATTTTAGAAATCCCATCTAGATTACATCAAGGAAGATAGATAGGAAAAGTATGTATTATACAGTATTTGTGATGTCATCAATATAGTAACAATCACTCCCGTGTTTAGCAACTCCAAATCTCAGAAAACTCCAATATCACAACAACAGGTCCTTCATCTACACCTCAAAAAGGCCAATTGTACTGCTTCAGGCTCTACCACCACATCCTGCTACATGGAAAGAAGCCTGCTCAACCTGTGTTAGAGCTGAGGTGGCGTAGTGTTAGAGTACAGTACTGCAGGCTACTTCAGCTGACTGCGAGCTGCAGTTTGGCAGTTCAAATCTCACCGGCTCAAGGTTGACCCATCCTTCCGAGGTGGGTAAAATGAGGACTCAGATTGTTGGGGGAAATATGCTGACTCTGTAAACTGCTTAGAGAGGGCTGTAAAAGCACTATGAAGCGGTATGTAAGTCTAAGTGCTATTGCTACTGCTACTACTGCAGGCCCAATCCAAGGACAAATATAATATAAATATAAATAATCTTATAAATATATATAATCTTGTTTTCTTTTGTTTTTGCTTTCTTTAAGCCTTGAGATTGGTCAGTCATGCAACAATGGCCCCATACATCCCTTTACCTGTGGGGTGGTGATGCGTCATTCTTCCACTTTCTATGCTGACTTGGATCAAGGTGTTGAGATCAGAAGGCTGAGGATACCTGGAAGAGATATTGGTTGAGAATCAGGATGATCTTGTGTTGACCATTCATCATTCTCCTATTGGTACTTTGCACGTATTTTCTCTCCAACATGTATTACCTAAGCCCAATGCACATGGATCTCATAGCTGCACCACAACCGGTTGCGTTAGAGTTGAAGGGAATGTGATATCCACCTGGCTCTCCTGGACGTAACTGAGATGTTCCTAGAAGCAGGTGGGCGGAAAAATAGCACACTGAAATGTTTATTGCCAAATGACGTTGGATTTTCAGTTTGTCCTGGACATTGTATTCATTTACAAAACAAAACAATAAAGGTTTTGATCTAAAGTGGAAGATTTGTGTATGGCTAAAGAAACTTGACTACTTTGAAATAATAGAAAATACTTGTAGCTCGGGTTTTAGATTTTGGCAGTGGTTTGCTATCCAAGATTGTTTCAATTTAGTTTCTGAACATTTCATTACCAGACTAGGTAACATCATCAGTAGGACTGTCTTGTCCTGTTCTCCTTAGCTTATCAATGTCTTGTATGCCAGTGTGGCCAATTTTTCATATGATTGGTTGTTCATTTGGAACTATATTTAAATTCTGAGCAGATGATTGGTTCTATTATTGATTAGTCATTCAAATAGTCTGGTTTCTTATATATTCATATAAGCATATTGATCTAGATCGGGGGTGTCAAACTTGACGCATTGCATGCCGAAATCGTGATGTATCACAACGTTTTTTGCCTTTGTGGAGCCAGGGTGGGCATGGCCTACACAGGCCATATCCAGCCCATGGGCTGCCAGTTTGACAGGCCTGATCTAGATCCAGCATATGAATACGTAAGAAACCAGACCATTCAAACAACCAATCAACAAGAGAATCAATCAGCTGTTCAGAATTTAAATGTAGCTCCAAATGAACAACCAATCACATGACCAACTGACTAAACTGGCATACAAGACATTGATAAGCTGAGGAGAACAGGACAAGAAAATCCTGCTGATGATGTTACCTAGTCTGGCAATGAAACATTCAGAAACTAAATTGAAACAAGCTTGGAAAGCAAACCACTGCCAAAAACTTGACTACTTTTTAAAAACTGCTTTGTATTCCCTTCCTGAAACTGAGATTAAAGAATCTACCGCAAAATCTTTTTTCTTCTTTGGTTAGAGAAAAGACACTAACTAAATTCATTGATTATGGCTTTTTGCATATATTTTTTAAAAAAAATTAATGTGTGATTGATGGTTTAGGAGTCATGGTGGTGCAGTGGTTAGAATGCAGCATTACAGGCTGACTCTGCTCACTGCCAGGAGTTCGATCCTCACCGGCTCAAGGTTGACTCAGCCTCCCATCCTTCTGAGGTTGATGAAATGAGCACCCAGATTGTTGGGGGTGATATGTTGACTCTGTAAACCGCTTAGAGAGGGCTGTAAACAAGGGTGAAATCCAGCCAGTTCTATCAGGCTTGGGCGAACCAGTAGCGGCAGCTGCGGGAGGCTCTGCCTACCCGTGCGGAGGTCATGATGTCACTTTTTTGCAACATTTTAAGCCTCTGTGCATGCGCAGAAGGCTTGGTGCATGTACAGATGACAGTGTGTGCGAATGGAGCGAGCACGTTGGCGAACCGGTAGGGAAGGTAAGTAAATTTCACCCCTGGCTGTAAAGCACCATGAAGCGGTATATAAGTCTAAGTGTTATTGCTATTGCTATTTTAATGATTAGACAGGATAGATTGAAGAAAGGAGAATAATATATAACTTTCGAGAGAAAGGATAAAGTACATTTGTATTTATAATTGTTGTGAAAAACGTCAGTCATTTCTTTCTATTTTTTTCTTTTCTATTTTCAACTTTTATTGCACTTCTTGCTTTTTCTTTACATTGCCTTGTATTAGTTTTATCTTGTTGTTTAAATGTTTTAATGAAAATTGTACAAAAAAAGTGAACAAAAATATAACTTTCATCCATAACATGACTGTTATAAACTGTGGCTGTGACTGAGTGGTGATAAAAGAAGTCTATTGTTTAGTTATAGTTTCTATTGTACATTTGCTGTGTAACCTTAGGGTGTCACTCACTCTCTGTGTAAAGGAATTTAGAGCTAAAGTTGGGAAGGGGAAGGAATGGGCAAGCTATTAGGGGAAGAAAGGGGGAATGAATTCTTAAGGCAGAAAAGAAGAGGAAAGTGTGAGAAATTCAAAATAAACCCACAAGATCATGTAGAACACTCTTTTTCAACCTTGGCAACTTTAAGTTATCTGGACTTCAGTTCCAAGAATTCATGTTGTTGAATTCCAGGAGTTGAAGTCTAAACATCTTAAAGTTGTCAAGATTGAGAAACACGGGGGTAGAGAGAAATAATAATAGGTTTCAAGATTCTCTTATTCTATTTTACTACAATACATTTGCTATGTAACCTTAGGGTGTCACTCACTCTCTGTGTAAAGAAATTTAAAGCTAAAGTTGGGAAGGGGAAGGAATAGGCAAGCTATTAGGGGAAGAAAGGGAGAATGAATTTTTAAGGCAGAAAAGAAGAGGAAAGTGTGAGAAATTCAAAATAAACCCAGCTGAATTTTGTTTGCCACAAGATCACGTAGAACACTTTAAGATATCTGGACTTCAGTTCCAAGGATTCACTAACCAGACATGTGGTTGAATTCCAGGAGTTGAAGTCAAAACATCTGAAAATTGCCAAGATTGAGAAACACAGGGGTAGAGAGAAATAATGATACTTTCAAGATTCTGTTATTCTATTTTACTACAATAAAGAGCATCTCTGGAAGTTTGAACATGCCTTTTTAAAAATTAGACTAACTCAAAGAGTTGCTAGTCTTGTAACTTTAATGCAATATAAAGTGTAGTGGCATTTACAATGTGAAGACAGTAAGAGTGGTCTGTCTGTCAGGATTGAACTTTCCAAGTTGTTAAGTGAATCCTGTTTTCTCCATTGAGTTTGCTTGTTGGAAGCCAGCTGGGAAAGTCATAAATGGCAATCACATGACCCTGGGATGCTGCAACCATCATAAATACATGCTGATTGCCAAGTGCTTGAATTTTGATCATGTGACTGTGAGGATGCTGTGGTGGTCATAAGTGTGAGGACCAGTCATAAGTCACTCTTTTCAGCGACCTTCTAACTTTGAACAGTCATTAAATGAGTGGTTATAAGTCAAGGACTATCTGTACTTAAAACTTGCAAAAATAAATATATGGTGTATTACCCAGAATACTGGTGGGTCCAGGTTTTCTTCCTTCCATATCTTTCATGCCCTCTACATAGCATCTTGCCAGCTCCTGGAACAAGGGCTCCCCAGTCTTCCCTATGCAAAAAAGATGGGAAACACAAGAGAACCATTTTTATCTTTAAATCTGAGACTCAGCCGAGGACGTCTTTTGATGCAGTTTATCACCAATAGAAGCTAAATCAAAATTCCTATATGCAGGGATCTTCTGAAGGATCCCTTTTCCTGTAATATTTCTCTTGTTGATTGTAGATGCTGATTGTAGAAGTAAAATTTGTAGGGCAACCAAACTTTACCGCATCCAATTGGGAAAGGTTGTTGAGAAAAACATTTGTGTTATCAGTGCTAAGAATATGAGCCTTCATATCTCAGCACCATCTTGAATCACCCACCTGAAGAGCGTGAGTACCCTAAAATGATGTGAGCTACCCAGAAACACAAAGGCAGCTATACAAAACTGAATAAAGAACTAAAAAAAATGAAATCATATTGTAATCCCAAAATCTAAACTCAGAAGGCTTGTAGCACTAGTTGCAAGCCAGGATCCTAGGAATGTCTGTTTAGGCCCTATCACACAGATACTCCAATTCATCTCAGGTAGCTACTGTTCCTATTGACTTCTGTTTCGTCCATTTTGACTAATTGGTAACAGTACAGGAGTAGTCTGCCACTATTATCTTTTGACTTCTAGTCATCTAGGTCAGTGGTCACCAACCTTTGCAGCTTGGTAGCCCAGCTTGGGGGGGAAAAGGGGAACTGGACTTTATGAGTGGTGGGGTGGTACGCATGTGCACCCACTCAGGGGTGGGTTCTACTTACTTTTACTACCTATTCGCAACGGGGTCGCACATGCGCAGAACCTTCATGATAATGTCAGGATCGGTGGACGGAGCCTCCCATCGGTTTTACTACAGGTTCTTGCGAACCGGTCTGAACCAGGGGCAATTCACCACTGGCTCAGCTTGACTTGCATGAGCAGCAGACTAGTGCATACACGCATACGCACACAGCTTGACTGCAAGTCGAGCTGCATGCACACACTTGTGTGTGCTGGCTTACGTCCTGCTTGCGAATAGGCCTCAGCCCAGCAGTGGGCTGCAGCCCGGGGATTGGGTACCCCTGATCTAGTCAGTGTTTCTCAACCTCAGCAACTTTAAGAAGGGTGACTGGGAATTGAAGTCCATCCATGTCAAAGTACCTGAGGTTAAGAAACACTAATCTAAGCTATAACCCTGATATTTCCTGCTATTTATCTAGCTGAGAACTAACCAGCTTGGATCCTGCTTAGTTTTTTCAACACCAGGCAAGGAATTAAAATAGTGATCTGTTGCCACTGCTGATTAAAAACCTGGAGTTGCTACTATTGGGTAAGTCCTGCAGGGCCCTCTAAGATAGGAGACAGATGCACCTGGGAACATTTTACCAAGAGTACTTAATAAACCACCAACTCCTATAAAGCACCATGAGAGAAGTATTATTTGGGGGTGGGGGGGAACCAAGATTTGCAAAATAAGACTACAAGGCTTCTCATCGCTTCCAACTACTCACCTGTGGCAAGGGCCTCAGCAGTCGCCAGATGCAGCACAGTGTCATCACTGACTGGCCAATCAGGAAGAGCTACATGGATCTTTCCAAGTCCCCCCATTTCCTGGAGCTCTTGGTGGATCTGGGGCCCCGAAGTACAGTATTCCCAGCGCTGGTTGCGATATCCAAGGGCATCACCAGCTCCAGAAAGCACCATGGCTGCACGATAAGCTTCTTGAGAGGGAGTACGGTAGCTACAGGAAAGAATATATTACAAAAGGCAGCACCCAAATACATAAATTGTATGTTTTGCATCTGTTGCAAAATATTGAAATTTATTTAAAGGTATCCTTTTGAAATGTGCAACTTGTATTAATTCATTAGGATCTATTTGCTGAAGTTGCATATCCCATCCTGTTTCCCCAACTAAACTGGCCAGTCCTTAGGAAGGTACACATTTAGTGGAATTAGTATTTTGAAACCAGCATGTCATGATTGCACCAGGGTTAACCTAAAATTTGCATGCACAAAATAAAAATTATGATTTACACAAAATAATAATTTTCACAAAATAAAAATTATAATGTACATCTAAAAGGACTCTACATTGTCATCTCATTGGCACTTCGTCAGGCTGACATTTTCTTAGCAGTTACAGATCAGAGTAATAAAAATGAAAAAGTAGCTATATACAAGGAAACTCAGACGTGAAGTGTGTTATTTCTCTGAGGAATACAGGTAGTTCTTGACATACAACCACAACTGGGACCAGCATTTCCATTGCTAAGCAAGGCAGTTGTTAAATGAATTGCATTCAATTTTATAAAAAATGTTCTGCCATGGTTTGGTGAATCACAGCACTTGTTATATGAATTACATGATTGTTAAGCGAATCCAGCTTCCCCTGTTGACTTGCTTGGGAGAAACCATCAGGAAAGGATCACGAATAGTGATCATATGACCCTAGGATGCTGCAACCATTGTAAATACATACTAGTTGCCAAAAATCCAAATTTTGATCACATGATTGTAGGATTGCTGTGAAAGCTGTAAGTGTAAAAACAGATTGTAAGTCACCTTTTTCGCTACCATTGTAAATTTGAACAGTCGCTAAACAAATGGCTCAAGGGCTACCTGTAGTAACTTTCCAGTAAGAATCTAACTAGCTAATGTTATGGTTGATCTCTGAAAGCTGCATAAAAACACCCTCCAAATCAAGATCCTGTAACAGCAAAACCACACTGTGGTACTTCTGCCAAAGGGTGCATCCATCAAACACCAGCAGACAAGCTCAATTTAAGGAAGATTTTAGAATAAATTTGAAATCTGGGAGTTTGCAACTGCGATCCTATGGAAACTTACAAAAGAGAAAGCCCACTGAAGAGCGTGGAGTTTAAAAAGAGCTCCATTCTACTGATGTACAGCGCCGCTTTCAAAGGCCTAATATGGCTGATATTGAGATGCCGCTGTATTACATCTATTACGGTAGCAAGTTCCCTAAGCAAGAATGCTACCTGCTGGAGAAAGCGATCTGAAGCTAGTGATATTGCTGCGGTCTGAGCCGCGATATTAGCCTTTAGCGGATTCTCACGCCCTTTCTCCTAATACACCCGCAGAAGAACAGCGTTGCAAAAAAAAAAAAAAAGTAAGGAAACGGAAGCAGGTCAGAAGGTAAAAAGGAGTATCTGGTGGACGACTTGCTCTTAAAGCAACTGCCCTGCAAATGACTTAAGAAAAGCCACAGGAATCGAATACATTTGCATGTTTATAGAATTCTTTATTGGCCAAGTGTGAATGGACACACAAGGAATTTGTCTCCAGTGCATAAGCTCTCACTGTGCATAACAAGCAACAAGTGATAAGTAATTATCATAATCATAAAACACAATCATCATAAATCATAAGATACAACGCAGTGATTGTTATAGGATACTAAATAAGCAATCATCAACATAAATCAATGATTATTGATTTATTATTGATTGATGATTATTGATTATTAACAGGCGAAGTAGAGGGGGTGCGAGCAACCGCTTACGAGCCATCCATGACTGCGGGGAGAGGAGTGGGGGCGACCGCTCCGTCTTCGTCCGTCCGACTTTGAAAAACAATTCGCCAGGAGACGGGCTGGTCCTAACCTCTCCACTCGTCCAATTGGAGGACTTCAAACAGAAAAAGTCTACAAATCCGTCCTCCCCCCACCCCACCTCCGCAACTGTGTTGGGCCTGCCCGCCCCCCTCCTTGCCCTCTGGCAGCGCTTTGCTGAGATTTCATGCTGCTGCCCAGAAAGTTTTTCTGTTTATAACTCCATTGATTTTTGCATCATGTAAGGTGGACGTGCAGAGAAGAACCGCAGGGGGTCGGTTTTCTAACAGATCTCTAGGGATTTCTAGATTCCGCAGGCTGGTTGCAGAGGAAAGAGGGGCTAGATCGGTGTTCCTCAAACTCAGCACCTTTAACGTACAGGTAGCTCTTTAAAAAGTGACTTATGGCCATTTTTTGACACTGGCAACCATTGTGGCAGCCCCATGATTACCTGATCAAAATCCAGACACTTGGCAACTGGCTCGTATTTTTGACGGTTGCAGTGTCCCAGGGTGATATGGTTGCCATTTGAGACCCTCTGACAAGCAAAGTCAGTGGGGAAGCCAGATTCACTTAACAGTGTTACTAATTTAACTACTGCACTTAACTCTGGCAAGAAAGGTGGTAAGGTGGGGCAAAACTCACTTAACAAATGTCTCACTTAGCAACATATTCTGGGCTCAATTACAGTCTAAGTCAGGAGTCTGCAGCCTTAAACACTCAAAGAGCCATTTGGACCAGTTTCCCACAGAAAAGAAAACACCGGGAGCCATAAAACCCTTCCCGTGCCTGACTATTTCTTGAGCGGCCACAAAACTAGCATATGTAGTTGAATTAAGTATTCTGTTTTCTTCTGAAACTTTTCTTTTCTTGGATTTATCCATGGTTGGCCTACTGGGGGTTTCAAAGCTCAATAAATCACATGCTGGCAAGTATTGCACATTGGCGGTTGTGACCCATATTTTGAGTGACAGGGAGCTGCAGCAGAGGGGTGAAAGAGCCACATGTGGCTCCAGAGCCGCAGGTTGCTGATCCCTGGTCTAAGTTGAGGACTACCTATATGTGGATTTAAGCTTCCAGAATTCTCCAGGCGTTATGCTGGCTGGGGAATTCTGGGAGTTGAAGTCCACACATCTTAAAGTGGCTGAGGTTGAGGTATTCTGGCTTTAGATCACCAGGGAGGGATGATGGGTATTTAGATTGTGCTTCTTGGAACTGCAGAGTGCAGAAAGAATTTGGGATAATTCTTTTCAATGCAGCTGATTTTCTATCACTAGAGCTTTGCCTCTTGATCAGGTGTTTGGGACTCTCTTTTTTGTAATTAACAGGTCTTGTGGCCTGAAAATGTTCAAAAATTCCTAGTCTACATTGCTCATCCCTCTTCTTCGTGGGTCTGTATTGGGGAGGGAAAATGAATAATCTTAACTTATGGCATGCCAGCTCCTATATATGGCATTTAGCAGTTGGATTCCAGCTGATTATACATACACAAAGTAGGGCCAGGTAGGGCAATTATTGTACTTGGAGCAAAGGCTACACAAAAAAAATCTTAACTCTGCCACACCAGTATTTTTCAACCTTGGCAACTTTTAAGATGTCTGGACTTCAACTCCCAGAATTTTCTACTCAACATGATGGCTAGGGAATTCTGGGAGTTGGTCCACATGGCTTATATTTGCCAACTTGAGAAACATTGGGTTAAACCATAAGTAGATAAAACATCCTGGAAAAAAAATAATGGCCAACCTTGTACTGCTTCAAAGGAGTTTCATTTTCACAGCTTTAAACTGCCTTTTGATTGGTTAGGTCAGACAGATCTCCAGCATGGGTTTCTGCAGCATGCTTGCTAACGGCTGTCATAGAAACGGGGAGGGGGAGTGTGGCCATTTGGGATGGGGAAGGAAGCTGGTGTGTAAAAATCCCATGAGAACTGGAAAGGAGGTTTGTACTCATGAATTATGGTGATGCTGAGTGGAGTTGTTTATACTCCCTGGACATCAACTGTCCAGATGCAAAAATATCTGAAGAGCTTTGCCATATCATCATACTGGATGTTGTTGTTGGGCCCTGGAGGGAGATATTTGGGGTGACTTTCATGCGTTTTGAATCAGATCTTGCTTTGCTTTCACTTTTATCATTTCAAACTTAGTAAATAATATCTCTTCTCTAATTCAGTGGAGCTGGGGGTTTTCTTTCTTGAGTTTTAAACTGAGGCAGGCCTGACACCTAGTCTATTCACTCTATTCTTAACATAAAGATCCACTGGAAACAATACATTAAGTCATAATATGTTGTTTTGTTTTAGTGTTGCATGTTGCCCAAATCCAGCCATTGTGATTTACAAACCATAATTTATGGTTTAGCATCATGCAACCAGGGGTGGGCTGCTGGGAGTTTGCAGGGGTTCAGGAGAACCTCTAGCTAAGATTCTGTGCAGTTCAGAGAACCCCAAAATCCCATTCCTGGCTGGCCCTGCCCACCCTGCCCCTCCCCTCCCAGGAGTCTCCACGCGGCCTGTTTTGGATGCAGGTAAGTGCAGGGAGTGTGCGGAGACTCAGGGAGGGGAAAAAATGAGCCTACTGGAAGTTTGGGAAGGCCGGAAACGAATGTATTTCCGGCCTCTAGGGGGCCTCTGGAGCCTGGGGAGGCCGTTCTCGCCCTTCTGGAGGCTCAAGGAAAACCTCCGAAGCCCAGGGAGGGCAAAACACCCCGCACGGCCATGATGCAGGAGGCCAACTAGGCCATGCTCACCATGGCCATGCCCACCAAGCAACCAGGCAGAGAACCCCTTGCTAAAGTTTTTGAAGCCCATCCCCTGCATGCAACCTAGCCAATTGTGACTTATAGAATATAGTATTCAGTCACAGAAAGAATTGGCTGGTTCCAAATTCCACCCATTTAGCCAGCCTGTTTAACAATAGTTTATTGAACCAGTCAAAATGGCACATTTCACTCAATGCTCCAACTTAAAAAATTGCAGACCAGTGATGGGTTTCAACCGATGTAACAACTGATTCACTTTGCATGCGCTTAACTTTGCTCGGCACAAGCACATTGCATTTCAGAACAGCTCAGGTACGGCAATCTGCTCTGCTGCACCTATCAGCAGAGTATAGGTAGATATAGCGCAGGTGTGGGCAGGAGGGCCCAGCTGACAGTCAGAGTGAACCGGTACGCTCTCAGCTCACCATCGGAGCTACCAGCTCACCTGAACTGGTAGAAACCCACCACTGTTGCAGACTACATTTGACAAAGTGTGTTGACTTATCTGAGCTTAAACACTATTAAGATTTAAAGTAAGTGGGTTGGGTACAATTTCGTAGGAAATCTCTTCTGCCTTAGCACATAATTGTTTTTCAGTCTTTAATTCCAGCATTGATCATAATCTGTTCTCTCTAGAATGTTAGAGTTGTTTGTTTTCCATGCTAAGAATTCTGCCCTGAAATTTGAGGTATAATAGGAAAAAAGGCTTGCTCTCTGATAAGAGGTCATTTATCTCTTGTTACTGAGCAGCAGCTGTGATTCACCATTTGATGCCTTATAAATGATTTGGGCTATAATTGCTATATTGGACTAGCTAGTACCACAATAAAAAGAATTGTAGCCCCAAAACATTCGAGATGCAACCTCAGTATAATGCAAATGATGTTTTCTGCCTTATGGATTGTTGCATCAAGTGTTAAAAGGACAACTGGTGGACAGCACCCAGGGGTGAAATCCAATTTTTCCCCTACTGGTTCTGTGGGCATGGCTTGATGGGCATGACAGGGAAAGGATATTGCAAAATCTCCATTCCCACCCCACCCCAGGGAAAGGATACTGCAAAATTTCAATTCCCTTCCCTCCTGGGAGAAGGATATTGCAAATTCTCCATTCCCTCCCCATTCTGGGGCCAGCCAGAGGTGGTATTTGTCAGTTCTCTGAACTACTCAAAATTTCCACTACCTGTTCTCTAGAACCTGCTGGATTTCACCCCTGGCAGCACCCCATATTCATCCCCGTTGACCAATATTCAGGGAAATCACCTGCTTCAAATACAGTCAACTTCTTTCTCCCATCACAGTTCAAACCCCTAAGAATTCCTGTTATAAGAGTGCTACTTCAGTCTCTCTAACACATGGATCTCCAAACCTGGCAACTTTTAAGACTTATGAACTTCAACTCCCATGCATGGCTGGCTGAGGAATTCTGGGAGTTGAAGTCCACAAGTCTTAAAAGTTGCCAAGTAGACCCCACCAGCACCCCTGCTCTATACCAATGTTTTTCAATCTTGGTAACTTTACGATGTTAAGCTGAGAACTCCTCAGCCAGCGTGTTGGCATGCAAATACATTCATCATAGCCAATATTTATCTACATAATTTAACCATTAAAAAAAACTGGCTTAATATTGAAATGTATTAAAAATATCCTTCTGAAATAGTCCCCTTTTGAAGTTACACCACTGAAAAAAGGACGACTCAGTCCTTACACTTACAATATGTCTGTCACAGCATCCCCATGGTAATCTGATCAAAATTTGTATGCTTGGCAATCAGTTTTTGCAACGCTTGGAACATCTGGGGTAATGTGGTCATGATTTGTGACTTCCCAGCTGGTTTTCAACAAGGAAAGTCAACGGGGGAAACTGGATTTACACTTAATAACTGCAGGGATACACTGTGGTAAAAAAAAAAAAAAGTAATAACATTGGGCATGATTCTTTTAATAACAGCCTTGCTTAGCAACAGAACTTCTAGTCCCAATTATGGTCATAAATTAAGGATTTACTTCCTGAATGTGTGCAAACATTGTGAGACAGTTTTTAAAAAG